GGAGCTTTCCCGTGTTCCTCTAGATAAGTTTACTTGATTCTCTAATACGTGTAGTCTGCAGGACGTAGATTCTGTTATTTTTTATGCAGTATTAAGAGGATACAAAAACAAAAAAAAAAACAAAAAAAAACTATTGATGAGTTTTATCAAACATAAAACATTAGATTTTTCCCTCTCATTTTTTGGAGGGTTCACTGCTCAGATTTAACAGCAAGGAACCATTTTGCTACTACCTAGATTCTGAAACAGAAAAGATGGAAATTAGGCATTATGATGGAAAAAGTGAAATACTAGAGAGAGTTGAAAAGATCCACCACCTTATCCATCTTCCTTGACTGTACAATCTCTGGAGCATTTCCATTAATGGGCAAGAAACATCCCAGTGCATTGACTATGTTCACCTGTTATTTGTAACCTCTTATGACATGAATAATGCTTTTCCCACAATCTGTTCTACTGAACTTTACTTTTTTTTTTTTTTTCTGTCAGCCTAATAGTTGTGCCAAGTTTGAGATCTGCAACTTTAGCTAATGTTCCAGTTTTTTCTACCTAGGTTAAAAATTCCCATACTGGCTGTGCTGAACATCAAGAAACAATGATACTCTGCAGCAAATATTACAAACAAGGAAACAATTTAAAACTCTAGGTTTTTAGACTGCACACAAATCTCATCTGTGCACCCCTGGACACTACAAAACTGATTATGGTTAGTGTTAAAAACTGACAATTACTATATAATAAAAAAAACCAGAAAACAAGGGTAGCTGAAGATGGAGAAAAATTGGAACCCTTCTGCACTGTTGGTGGGAATGTAAAATGGTGCAGCCCCTCTGGAAAACAGTATGGCAATTCTTCAAAAAACTGAACACAGAATTACCCTATGATCCAGCAATCTCACTTCTGGGTATAAATCCAAAAGAACTGAAAGCAGGATCTCAAGGAAATATCTGCACATTCATGTTTATAGCAGCATAATTCACAATAGCCAGGAGATGGGAGCAACCCAAATGCTCATCAACAAATGAATGGACAAAGAAAATGTGGTACATACATACAATGGAGTATTATTCAGCCTTAAAAGGGGAATTCTGACATATGCTACAACATGGATGAACCTGAGGACATTATGCTGAGATAAGCCAGTCAGAAAAGGACACACTGTATGTATGACTCTACTTATAAAAGATACCTACAGTAGACAAATTGATATAAACAAAGTAGAATGGGGGTTGCCAGGGGCTGGGGAGGGGAAATGGGGAGTTGTTTAATAGGTATAGAGTCTCAGTTTTGCAAGAAAAACTTCTGCAGATGTTGCACATTGTGAATACACTTAGCACTAACTAAACTGTACACTTAAAAATTAAGATGGCAAATTTTTTAAGCCACAATTAAATTTTAAGTTGTATTTTAAAAAAGGAACTGAATTAGCAAGATAGAAGTGAATGGGAGATTAGTACCTCTAAGGAAGAACTTTTTTCTCCTTTTAGAAAAACAGATTGGGGCGCCTGGATGGCTCAGTCGGTTGGGTGTCTGACTCTTGATTTTGGCTCAGGTCATGATCTCAAGGTCATGAAATTGAGCCCCATGCCAGGAGCACAGCCTGCTTAAGATTCTCTCCTCCCCCAGAAAGAAAAATTAAAAAAAAAGAAAAGAAAGAAAAACAGATCTTCAGAATGTCAAAAGATTTTACCACCACAATCCTTTTTTTGAGACAATCACTACACAAAATCAGCCTAAGGTTCTCTCCCTCAAATGCTCCAAGATTGTTTGGTAAATAAAAAATCAGTGCCTCCACATCATTACGCTACCCTGAGAAAGCGCTCTGAAAGGAAAAGATTTTGCTTTATGATTGAAATTACTTCTTCATTTCTTGGAATTTGCCAATTCATGACTCCGATTCTACTTTAAGATCCGACAGGAAACATGGAAGAAAGGACACATCCTTTCCTTTTGGCTTTGTGATTGAAGAGATTTGCTTTTAAATGATGCACACAAAGTTTATCCTCCAAACATTATTTCCTTGAGGATGGTGACTACAACTCACGTTAACTTCATCTAAAATAACAAAGGCCAAAATAACTACTAGTACTATAGTATCAGACAATTTTTGATACTTCTAAGTAAATTCAGATATTCCTCCTCTGGAGAAAAGAAAACAAAAACCCAACATTTAAAATAAGACCACATCTTCCTAGCTCTAGTTCTGGATATAACACAAACTTAACCTAAATTGTGGCACATCCAATCTATCTAAGAATACCATTAATGCAAAGGGAATAAAAACATGTAAAGATCAAATAATATAGTATCTGTACATTTTAAAATGCCTCTCCCTTTATCTTCCCATGTGTTAGGATAAAGAACTAAGTAATTCCAATTGCAGAAGTAAATAGTAATTCTCATATTCCTCTGTAAAAGGTAATCAAGTTACACTTTTGCTTGAGCAAGGGTTTCATCAACCAATTCACTTACTTAAAAGTTTCAAGTAAAATGGTATTCTCATTTCAAAAATGGCATTTACCTGAATGTCATCCAGATAAAATGCCTGCTCTCATTTTCTTTAATCCTTGCCATAATGACCACCATCAACTTCTGGTTCTACATACTCTATCAGTCTACTTCACTGCACAGGCAGGACAGAAAAGAGATCTATTTAGTTATATTCTGTGCCTGATAAAGGTTATAACAACCATCCTAAACTTGAAAAGAAAAATCATGACTAGCATTTGGTTTAAAAATTTTATAGACTATTAGAGAACTCTGTTAATTAACTATTATTTTACCAAAAGCAATCAGACTATCAGCAAGGGAAGATGGGAATGAAGACTATAATTGTGCTCAAAGACAAACTTGAACAGGTAAGTCATTTCCTCAAAAACAACATAATTGTGTGTTGGTTTTTCTTTTTCCAAGAGCATTCAAACAAAGTTAACTGCAAAATTTTTCTGAAGTGAATTTGTTTATCCAAACGGCAGGCTTTGAGAAGATCAATTTTAATGTTTGATCTATAATCCTGGCAACTCTAGGTCAAACTGCTACACGTTTAACAAGGATTATAAACATGTCAAGGTTCATTATTTATTCAATTACATTCAGGAAACATTTATGAAGTGCCCATGAGCAAGGATCTCTGCTAGTATAAAATCCAATCCTATTATCAATGTAACACAATGGATCCTACCTTTTTTAAAAAACAAAAACACAAGCAAACCATAACTGCATGAAAGAATGCAAGGGCACTAGGCAAAGCTGTAGCAAACCACATATACCCCAGGCCTGGAGAAGCAGGGAAACAGGGTGACATGGCTAAACTAATGTAGTCCTAAATAACAGTAATGTTCAAGAAACATGATAGTTGCCAACCTGTTTTACATGTAAGAGCTGTGCTCAAGACCACAAACTCCTATCTGAAGACTAGCAGGGACAAGCTGGAGACCCAGACATGAGGAGTCAGGTCTGCTAGGAAACTGGAAACTATGGTGTATGTAAATGGTTGAAGAAAGTAGAGATGTTAAGCCTGAAAGGGCGTGAGGGGTGGGGGTGGGAAGCAAGGCTCATAAGAAATCTGACAGCACATTTAAAATATTTTTAGAGCTTCCCTGTATAAGGAGTAGGTTTATTATGCAGTTGGCCAACTAGGCAGAAATAGTACCACGCATGGAAGTCAGGGGAAGGTCTTAGGAGTGTATAACCATTAGAACCGTCCATAGTAAAACAGGCAGGCTGCCTTGGAGCATAGAAAGCTCCTGGCACCAGGAAATGTTTAGAATTTCAGAAAAGTGAACAGAAGTCCTGACTTCAGGGAGAGATTGAAGTAATTACTTTTTTTGAACCTTGAAACATTTCCTGGTGCCAGGAGCTTTCTATGCTCCAAGGTAACCCATTTTACTATAGACAATTATCTTCTTTAAAAGAAAAACGGGGATAAATAATTATTAGAAATTCCAAATAAGGATTCAAGAACATGTCGGAGAAATTGCTGTTCCCTCCCTGTATTTACCCATATTCCAAAAACAACTTTGTGTCTTGGATCAACATAGTGCTGACTTAAATAAGCTCACCAAAGGTTCTTTTTCTCTCAATGACTTACCTCTGAAACCTCTTCAAGATTATTCTTGATGTGGCATCTTTCCTGACTCATCATCACCCCCCCCAAACACATCCCCATTGGCTGTCTCCCCCCTCTAAGCTCCCACTTATCTGTGCGTATCACCAACACAGTACTCTTGCTTCATAAGGATTATTGATATGAACGGAATTCTAAATTATAGCAAAGGCTTTGAACTTATAAAGTCATAGATCATAAAATACTAGTACTGGATTACAAAGGTCTATAATACTTATGAAAGAGAATTAACCAAATCAGAAAGCAACACACCTTCAAAGGCCTCTGGAGAGCATGTATTCTAACTTAGCACCTTCCCAAGGAGTTAGCAACCATTTGGACCATATGGGTATGCGTCTTTGGAAATCTGTCCCTTAGAAAGGTGTTTTAGGACATTTTCCATTTTACAGCATTCAGCCTTGCTTAGACTATAAATTCCTTGAGGATGGAGAGGTCTTCCTTTCCTTGTCCCAGGACAGCCCTTAGTTGCTGGTTAAATGGAATTTCATAAACTGCTTGCCAGTAGAAAAAATTATACTTGGAGATCTAAACTGTGTGTGAAAGGATGGAGTTGTGATTCCTATTTTTGCAAATATGGTAGAATCAAACACCAACTTCTCTTTCTGTTCTTAGTGGGCACAAAAGACCACTGACAGTAACTCCCTTATCCCCAGTCTTGTAATAATCCTTGATACAACTAACTTCCTAAGAGTTGTGGAAGTTCAAAGATCCCAGTTCTATTACTAAACTGAATACCGATCACAGAATTTCAGAATTAGAAGGTAACTTGGAGACCATCTGATGTAGCTCCCTCATTTTACTGCTTGACAAGTAGTGACTTACTGATTCAGGACTCTAAGCAATTTTTTCCACTTTTCCTTTTTTAAACTACAAACAAAATAGAGGCTTGATCACCTCACAGAAGTCACTGCATTGGTGTAGGACCACCTAACATTCATGACTGTTCAGTCATTTCACTCTTGCAGTAACTCACACTTGGAAGGCATCACTTACAGAATATATGACAAGACTCATGTATACAATGACAAAAATCAGAACATGGGAATTTAGGTTAAGTCAATGCTTATAATGAGCCAATTATAGAAACAACTACCAGGGCGCCTGGTAGAGCATCCAACTCTTGATCTCAGGGTCATGAGTTCAAGCCCCACATTGGGCGTTGAGCCTACTTGAAAACAAAACTACCATTTCATGAACTCCTATGTACTAGACAGTTGATCCAATCCTATGTGTACACTAGCTCATGCAATCAGCCCAGTGATTCTGCCACTGCAAATATAATTATCCCTGGTTTATAAATGGGACATAAGGCTCATTTTACCCAAAGAAAAAGCCTCAAAGCAGAGTGTGGATTTAAACTCAACCCTGTCTGACTTCAGAGCCCGTGCAACACTCTGTTGCGCTACCTTAAGTACTGTCTTATGGTTCCTTGAAACTGTTCCAATTCTCTAGGATCACATTTCCAAATGTTTGGAAAGGCATCCACAAGAAGGGAGGTGATATGGTTCAGTGCAACAAGCAAGAGCTTACAAGCCAGGCCCACCAGAGTTAGAGTCCTGGAACCATCATTCAGTGGTTCTGAATTACCAGGGCACACAGAATAAAGAGGTATTATGAGACACTTAACAAGACAAATTTTAAGAAATGGAATATTATTCCTAAATCATTGCCCTTAAAATTCAGAGTATAATCCTCAGACAAAACCTGATCAATTATTCCAAACTATGTATGACAACCCTAGAAAGAGAAAACTCACCCTCCAAAAAAAGGGGGGGATATTTTAAAATCCAAACACAGAGAACTCTGTATTTTACCTCCCGTGTAGGTGTTTATTTTGTTTCACAATTAAGTGACCATTGGAAGAATAAGTTTTTTCAAAGTTCTGGAAAGTCATCTTCAATTAGGCCCCGGAAAGAAATGGAATCTTTTAGTCACGACTCTTGTTTTCTTTGAAAGTTCATCTTTGGGTCAGCCAAGTTTTAAACGGTAAAATTATATTGCTGTGTTGTTAGTCAAGTTTGGGGGTGGGGTGAGGGTGAAGCCGCTAGCTATTTGGATCACTGTAGGACAGCTTATCTGGTTTCTATACTCAAAGAAGGGTCTGTCTATTCTTAGGCAAAAGACATCATCGTTTTAGAGGAGAAGCTTGCACTGGATCTCAATTGAATGATCCGCATGGGAAGACTCAAGAAAAGTCTAGCTCTCCAAATAAAAGCTGTTTTCAAAGCGTGTGTGATTTTTCTTGGGTCAATGGAATGTCTAAGCTAAAGGGTTTTTCTTTTTGTTTTTTTCCTGTGTTGCAATTTAGCCAAACAGAAAAAATTGTGTAATGATTTGTCCCATTTATTCCTTGCCTTATTATAACAAGAATAAAGCAGTGAATAACAAATAATGAATTTAAACTATTGCTAAGTTACAAATGAGCCAGAAGCTGTACTTGCCCTTATTATAATAGCTATTACCCTGATTGTAGACTATTACTCATACAAACCTGCACACCACATTCTCACACTCTATTAACGAAACCCATCCGACTTTTACATTACCATCTTTTTTACCGTAACTCCCTTCATGGAGATGGCTGTTGCAGTCACAGGAACTAAGGAAGTGGTTTGGTTGATAGGAAGGCAAAACAGACCAATGACACAAGTTAAGGCAATAGTTTCATGGGATGAAAACATTTCACTCCGGGAAGGAATTAAGGAGCCCGTGCTACCAAGATTCCCAAGGGTCACTGAAAGAAGTCCTGAGCACCTCTGTGGTCAGTACCAGGATCAGCAGAGGCCCAGAAAAAGGATCCCTTGCTTAAGAATTAAAAAACAAAATGAAACAGAAAAAACAATGCAGAGCAGATGAGATGCAGGCAAAGGGTCTACGGTTTTCCATCTAACCAAAGACTTGGAGGATCTCCTCAGACAGTGGGGATTAAAAGAAAAAAAGGTTACTTTCTTATTGGAGAGAGTTTGAAGACCTATAGGATTTTCTGTCAAATTATGTTAACAATTAAGATTGGTTCTTTAAAAAAAAAAAAGTGATCTTTGGGAAGTTAAACAAAAAAAATTTTTTAACTCTGATACAACAGAACTGTATGCTCACTAATAAGTATACTGATAGGCACCATCATTGAAAGAGAGAAGAGATACAAGTTAATGGCAGCAGGCCTTGGTTCATTTTAGAACCACTTTTAAATATTTATATATTAAAAATAAAAATCATACAAATAATTACTTACCTATTGCATTTAATTATCTGCTTCACTTTTCATTGCTTTCACATAAGTAAAGAGCCTTTTTAGTTGGTCTTTAAATTTTAGCCATTTACACAGTGCCTAGCACATGGTAAGCGCTTAATATATCTTTTTAGAATAAATGAAGAGACAGGTATTTTTGAAATTCATCACACTTTCATCCATATCTAAGTCGAGACAATAAAGATGAGACAAAGGCTACAAATCGGGCCTACTAAATATGATGTTACACTATCCACGTATTGTCAAACACACATAAAAGGACTGCTGCACGGATTACCCCACCCTATCCAATTAATAACAGGAGAGCTACTCAAACACGATTCTCTCCATATAGCCTTTAAATGCCAGTAATTTAAAAAAATGCTGTCACTATTGTATTTCTGTTCTTTGATATATTTTCTGATATACTTTGGGGGGGTGGATCAAAAATTAGTAACTCATTAAAAGATTGGTTTTGGGGGCGCCTGAGTGGCTGAGTCGGTTAAGCGCCTGCCTATCGCTCAGGTCATGATCCCAGGGTCCTGGGATGGAGCCCCGCATTGGTCCCCCTGCTCAGCAGGGAGTCTGCTTCTCCCTCTGCCTCTGCCCCTCCTCCACTTGTGCTCTCTCTTACTCCCTCAAATAAAATCTTTAAAAAAAAAAAAAGATTCATTTTCTAAGATCTGAAAAATGTGCCCCAAAAGTACATTAGGGATACACATAACGAAGCCTCTTCTTTGCTTTCAGTTCTCACAATACCTTGGTTCCACATGACAGCAGAGAATCATGACATGCAACTTGTTCCTTCTCTTACAGAGATACTACAGGCATATAGCAATAGGTAGGATTCTCTTCTACATAGTCAACAGTGGCAAAGGGACATATGTGATTTCACATTTTTTAAATTTGCCAAGTTTATCCATAAGTTCTATACAATTAACCTAAAGTGTTGTTTTAGAAATCAAAGTTACTAGGGGTAGGGCATTTAATTCATAAATTACTATGTAATTTCTTCTAAAGTACCCTCCCTCTTTCAATTTAAAAATAATTTAGAAAGGGGCACCTGGGTGGCACAGTCAGTTAAGCGTCCAACTCTTGGTTTTGGCTCAGGTCATGATATCAAGCCTCGTGGGCTCCATGCTCAGCGGGGAGTCTGCATGAGAGTCTCCTCCTCTCCCTTTCCCCCTAATTCCTCCCCACTTGCGCTAAATCTTTAAAATAAAAATAAATTTGGGGCGCCTGGGTGGCTCAGTCGTTAAGTGTCTGCCTTCGGCTCAGGTCATGATCCCAGGGTCCTGGGATCGAGCCCCGCATTGGGCTCCCTGCTCCGCGGGAAGCCTGCTTCTCCCTCTCCCACTCCCCCTGCTTGTGTTCCCTCTCTCACTGCCTCTCTCTGTCAAATAAATAAATAAAATCTTTAAAAAAATAAAAATAAAAATAAAAAAATTAAATTAAATTAAAATAAATTTAAAGACACAAATTGACTGACATCTTGAAAAAGGAGACAACAGACAAAAATGTATACCATTTTTTAAAAACATGGAAACCTGGAGACAATAGTACAATTTATTGGGCTGCTGAGCTTAGAAACTCTGTACACCAAGAGGCCAAAACATGAAAGGAGATGGCTGCAAGAAGTTGATAAAAGGGATCTTGCTGGGTGACTTGAGGACCCGATTGCTTAAGGATGTATGGAGACCTACCGTAACTGGTTAAACTTTGATTACAAAATAAGATTATAGACTGTTTTTGTATTTCGGTACAAAAATTTGGGAACATGTATATCAATCATTGGATGGTATGGTTAAGGCTTCCAACACTGTCATTAACTTAACTGTTTTGCTTTTTTTTAAAAAAGGAAAACTAAATACCCTTCCAGGAGGGCTGGATTTCACGGCTTCTAATTTAGGCAAAATTTAGTTTTGAAAGCACAAAGGAGATACTGCCTGGGGAATCCAGAAAGGCTTTCTAGGAGCCAGCTGTGTGCTTGAAGACAGCCAGGCACTCCTGCACAGAAAGTGGAGACAAAGGCACCCCGATATGGCCCCTCCCCCCAGGGCCATCCACATGAATCCACATGAGGACTGATGGCACAGACCGGGTCCACATCCACACCACCATGTTAGATGGCGTCTCACTCCATTTTTGGACCTCGGTTCCCTCATTTGTAACTGAAGAGGCTGGGCTAGTGAAATTCCTTCCAGTTCTAACATAGGATTATTACATTCATGACTTTAGCAGGATGCCTCTATCCTGCCCACAAAATAAAACACCCTTAGGAAAGAACTTTCAATGACCTTTTACTTACCACCTTTCACTTGTCTTAAAAGCAGAAGCAAATGCGTTTGATTGTTTTTTAATGGATTCCCACAGAACAGAGTTACCTGTGGGGCTACATATGGCGGTGACCCCCTACCCTTTCCAAAGCTTGCCAGGGCTGCTCCGAAAGTGACTTGAAAAACACAAGGTTTGGGGCGCCTGGGTGGCTCAGTTGGTTAAGCGACTGCCTTCGGCTCAGGTCATGATCCTGGAGTCCCTGGATCGAGTCCCGCATCGGGCTCCCTGCTCAGCAGGGAGTCTGCTTCTCCCTCTGACCTTCCCCCCTCTCATGCTGTCTCTCATTCTCTCTCTTGCAAATAAATAAAATCTTAAAAAAAAAAGAAAAACACAAGGTTTGAACACATTTAAACTGTAACAAAATAGTATGCATTGTATTTCCTTAAAAAAAAAAAAAAGTTATAGTCCCATAGTACCTACTTCCAAATGGCTTAAAGCCCTCAAATAGAGGAGAGTTAACCTTAATACAAAGAGATGAATAGACTGTAGGGAAGTATACCACACCAAGCCTCTTTGGGGTGCTTTCCCAATGTTAGATTCATTTATCTGATCTACGCTGGGACTTAAACTTGGAGAACACAGAATCTACTAAACTTCTGTAAGTCTAGTGTTACTAACCTCCAGTTATGCTGGATTATTTTTAAGTGTTTTTCCGTTCACTCAATACTACTTAACATTATGATTAACTATCACAATGATTAGCACTTGAACATTTTGCCATGTGCCAGGCACGACACTATACATGGACTCCACCTTCCCCTAACCCTCCCTCCCCCACAAGACTATACTGAGGAAACAGAGGCACTCAGTAACTTCATCACAAGGTCACAAAGTCTGGGTCTGAATCCGGGCAGCCTAACCCCACGGCCCACCTGTTTAAATGCTGGAAGGCAAGCCTATCTAGCATCTGACAATGCTGGGTGATCAAAGATGATTAAGACAAGCACTTGGTTTACACATGGTAGATTCTGCCAAACATATAAAAAAAATAATTACAACATGGTATGTGTGCTGTAACCCAGGCCTTTAAAAAAATCACTGTGGCAACAGAGGGAAGAGAGCGCCAGGGGAGAGCAGAAAGGCTTCCATTGAGCTGGGTACTGAAAGATGAGCAGGCATTCTGAGGGTGCAGGAATAGGGGCAAGGCATTCTGGGTAGAGGACAGCATGTGCCAAGGTACATAAAGGTGAGTGAGCTCGGGGAATCCAGTGTGGCAGGAGGGGAGGGAAGGCAGGGCAGGAACGGGGAGCTTTTACAGGCTAGCTAACTGGACCCCTTTCAGCATTGGTTCTTATCTGGCTGACAGTGGCTAGAAAGCAGGGTCCACTTGACAGCTCTCTCCTATAGGGACAGTATCTAGCAGGGCTTGAGGTTTTTTCTTCTCTTCTGAAATTCGCTTCCCCAGGGTCCAGAAGACTCTAAAAATACAGATAGTCCTAGGGGTGCAAGCAAGAATATTAAGTGCAAGAAACTAACCACTTAGCTGAATTTTGGAGCAAGGCAATCCAGGCAGAAGAGGGCACAGCCAGAAGAGAGGGTGGTAAATTGGCCCCCAGGACGAACTGCCATCAACTGGACAGCCTAGGTGCGCGGCCCTTAAGGGGTCATGAGCACAATAGGGTGAGTGTGTTTTCTGGGTAGAATACCTGTACGTTTCACCAGATTCTCCAAAGGATCAGTGGGCGGAAAAAACAATCACTGCTTTCAAGCAGGCTTAGAGCCAGACCTCCACACAACTTCTAATACCTGGGGCAATCCTAAGGCACTTTAAGAAAAACCAACAAACAAAAACACCACTGCAAGCAAAATGAAAAAGCCCTCCCTCCCTCCTGGGCCTTCCTTGAAACTCTGACAAACACGTTAGCTTCAGACTCTCTTCAAAAGGCCTTTCAGATCCGAGATCCTTATTGTTTGCCTAACATTGTTCAGGTCCTATTATGCAAGCCTACCACCAAATCAGAACCCCAGATGTTCAGGATTTACTGCTAAGACACAAACCCTCCAATATCTAATCTAATCTTCCTAAGGAAAACCTTCCCTCTAAATGGTGAGGACAGCGAAGAAATGCAAGAAGCCGGATCGACAGGCCGGGTACTTAATTAACTTCTCAACTAATATTTAAAAGAAAACTTAAAAATAAACCACACTTTAGTGAAACTCACTTTAATTTTCTACCACAAGATTAAAAGGATGGCTGCCTCCTGAGGAATAATCACCACCCTGGAGTCTGAACACAAGAACCCTTATTTCCAGGTTGGCAATTTGGCCCCCTGGGGGAACACAAACAGCCAACCCAACATCTGTCGTCACCATCACATGACATCACACGTCACCGGCATTTCAACATGTAATTCTCCTGTTGTTAGAATTCACTCTGTTGCTGATCAACTCTGAGCCGCCATCTGTAAAGTAGTATAGGCGACATTATCGTGAAAGAGACAGAAGGAGAGAAGCCTTTGAGTGCCTGGCATGGTAGGGAGCAGGGTGGTGGTGAAGAACACCAGTGCCGGAGTCAACAGCAGCCCAGGTTCAAATGCTGGCCTTATCATGAAGCGGTGTGAGCTCAGGCAAGTTACTTACCCTCTCGACAATGTCCTCAGGTAGACAATGAGAATCCTAGCTGTGCCTCATTTGACAGGATGATCAGGAGAACTCAGTAACTTGGTGTTTGTAAAAATGTTTAGAACAGTGTCTGGAACCTAGTTCGTATTTGATAAATACACTCAATCTCACCAAAATTCCTTAGTTAAGGGAACTAGCTATTTCAACAAAACAGGAGAAAGAAGCATGTTCAGTAAACAGGCACATATCCAGAGTTAATTTAATGTTCAATGTGAAATAAAACACCAAAAGTAGTCACCGCAGTGTAAATAACTGTCAATGGAAAGAAAAGTATTTGAAAGTCGGGAAACCAAAACCCAAGAGACATTTATTGATCTCCTAGCACACGTTACATCACCATGCTGGATGTTAGGGATAAAGAAATTAAGTCATTCCACATATATATATCTTTAGATCACAGGAGCAGAGAATACTGACCCAGTAAGACTCATGCTCACATACACTGCAATACATTGAGGAATGTAGTAGCCTTAACTTCTGGAGGATAGAAATTTCTAAAGTAATAATAATGGAGTAAAGCATTACTATTTAATAACAGGCTGATGCTACTGTTTTGTTTTCTCTGGGAAAATAATGCAGGAGGGTCAAAGATTTTGGAAGCGGAACAGCCACAGTTCCAAGGACAGGGGGCACAATGTAATCATTATTATAGCATAAATTGCTACTCTTTTTGCCATGCCTTAAAGTTTCCTGTAAAGTAAAAATAAGAGCTTCCTTTCTAGATCAAATTCTGTGCCAGACACTGGGCCACATGTTTTGCATACATTACCTTATGATTCCATGAAGTAGGCATTATCTTCATTCTCTTCCAAAGAGATGAAGAAACTAAGGTTTAGAGAGGTTAAAAGTCACCAGCCAGCAAGCATAACAAGACTCTGAACCTAGTTATGAATCCAACATAACCATGTACCTTAAGTATCGGATTTATAATTTGACGTACAAGGTCACAAAATCTGGGCTTCTTGACTGATTTCTCAATAACCTGTCCTCATCCACTTTTCAATGCTATAACCCCTTTCCAGGTAGCTGTGCACGAGTTGAACACATTAAATCCTAATGGGGCGTGCTCTCTCTATAATTATTGCTACGATCCGCATACAACCCTATGCTTTAGATTGTTATTCCCAATTTACACAGGAAGAACTAGCCTCAGAGAAATTAAGTAGCTTGCCCAAGATAACACAGCTAATAAAGGACAGCCAGAATAGGAAACTCGCCTTCAAAACCTGCACTGGCTGACTCCCAAGCTCAAAGCACTATGAAGCCATGGAAAGGAAGCCCATCTCAATTTTCTAAATGCAGCTCCAGTGGAAACTCTTTACTATCATGCCATTCTTCTCAAATTACTCTACCCCTGAAAACCTAAACTAAGATATTCTCTTTCCGGGAAGTCCCTCACTCCTCGACCAATCTATGCCACCGATTTTGTGGTCCTAATGGGCACCAGTGGGCCAAAGATAGAAGCAAAAATAAAGAAGAAAAAAAAAAAAGAGGAAAGAAAAAAGGGAGAGATTGTAGAGAGGAAATGGAAGAAGGGGGCCCTTCCTCCAACAGCAGGCTTCCCCTCCCCTCGAAGCCTCGCCCACACTGGAGAACCCCTCCCAGGCTTCCCCCAGCACACCAGTCCTCACTGGTCCCCTCACGGGTTGCTAGGCAACCAAAGGCGATATACACAAAGGGCAGAGAGGTCCCAAGTGCTGCCCCGCCGGTCTTCAAATTAAAGCAGAACTGGTGACCTACAAATACCCGCAAGGTGACAGAACACATGAACAGATAAGGGACACAGACGGCAGAGGTTTGAGAGTCTGGATCTCCAGGCACAGTGAGGAGAGAGAGAGCCCTGGTGGACAGAAAACTGGAAGGCTGGGAAGCCAGAGAGCAAAGCTCAGGGCAACTCAGTATCCAGGATAAAAAGGCCACAAGGGAGGCTGAACAGCTCTCACTACAGCAGCCCCAGAGGTCGAGGGCATGGGATCGTAATATACATTTCAACTGCTCACTGCTGGCAGGCCTCTGAGCCAGGTCCTGGTTCTGGGCCGGACTTTCAACAGTTGAACAGATAAGTTACATCTACAAAATGAACTGTGAATTAGAAAGGGCTCACTGCAGCAAATAGTATTCCCTGCTGTGCTGAGTTCACCCAGCACAGACAGACAGAAACAAATACTGAAAATGTAACTTTGTTTCAGCAAAACACATCCATTCAATACCATTATAAACTTGTGATCTTCCCATTTCTTTTTTAAAGAAGGTGCGTTTTTTATTTTCCTATGACTTCTGGGGGGGTGTGTTTACATGAGAAAAATGAAGACAATGAGCCCAAGTGGAAGGATTTCCAAGATCTACCCTCAGATAGGCCTAATTCATTCAGAAACCTACATTGGGGTTTCTTTTGTACAATAAGTTCCTCCAAAAGGAAGTGCCAGGGAGCACTCGTGCCTCAACAAAGCCTAGATTTGTGTATAAAACAACAGCGGATAATCCTACACATCCCAAACCCAAATGCTACCACTGCTTCTAAGAATTTTTCTTCAATCTCCAACCCAGAGATAACTTTTTAAAATCTGTTATAGCAGTTTGTCTTTTCTAACCATTTAATACTTTCCATTAGCCCATGAGTTGTCCAGACGGCACTGCACATAGTAGGTATGCACAAATTTTCTCAAAAAATTATCTGTGTGATGTCGTGCTTTCAAATTTAAGAATACCAAATGGAGGGGCGCCTGGGTGGCTCAGTTGGTTAAGCAACTGCCTTCGGCTCAGGTCATGATCTTGGAGTCCCGGGATCGAGTCCCGCATCGGGCTCCCTGCTCAGCGTGGAGTCTGCTTCTCCCTCTGACCCTCCCCCCTCTCATGCTCTCTCTATCTCATTCTCTCTCTCAAATAAATAAATAAAATCTTTAAAAAACAAAACAAAACAAAAAACAATAGCATGTATGCTTAAATTAAAAAAAAAAAAAAGAATACCAAATGGAGTATATGGAGAGGACATGTGTACTTCAAGGAATCCTTAATGGCTAACACACACACACACACACACACTCTCTCTCTCTCTATATATAGGATTCATGAAAACATCGTCTGAAAGAGGAAGCCAAATAATGCCTACAACTTCTTTAAGAAACATACTTGGAAAATGACTGCTGCAGATGTGCCTGTCCAGAACTAAAGTTAAATTAGCCTGGTAGCTGCTGTCTGGTGATAACTTTCTTAGGGCCAGGAAGTTGGTGAGTATGTGATTAGACATGTTTCCGCCCTTAGCTCCACCCTAGATGCTATCAGTTCACTAACAGAAGGTTCTGCAGCTGACCAGCTCATACCACCCTCAAAAAAAAAAAATCTATGAAAAACAAAACAAACCGTGCCAAATTTTCACACGAGTAATTTAAACCCTAAATCCCCTCCCATGTGTATACTTTTTATTCATCTTCACAACACCCACAAATTTAAGGCATAGAAGGAAAATAAGTTAAAATTGGCCATTTTCTTGACTTCAAACACGTAAGTATTTTAAACTTTTAACTCACAATATCACTAAAATATCAACTAACCTGTCAATTGATTCCAAGTTTCGAACGCATTCCTACCTAGTGTTTCTAGATAAGCCCCAGGACTCTCTTCACCTTCCACCGATGAACTATTTGGCTACATTCACAGAGAAGATGCCAGAATATGAAACACACAAGGACTTGGCAGATTTGCATGGCATTTTCCTTTTCTAACCTACCTCTATTCAAGCTTGGTCAAAGGCCCTAAGTTGATTCCTTGAGTGCATAATTTTCCCAAAATACACTGTCTTTTTAGAAATCCCCAAATAGAGTTTTGCTAAAAGACTCACGATCAGTTCAGAAACTGAGAAATACTTTTAGACTTCATGAAAAATGTCCCTAACTACCTCTATGACCTTAAGCCAATCATTTCATACCTTTCTAGCCTTCAATCTCCTCAATTAGTGATTTTATACTATCTTAAAACTAATTTTTAACCTTCTGAGTTGGGCTTTGATATCTGGTGAAGAAAGTCCTCCTTCACAGTTCTTTTTCAAACTTTCCTTGGCTTTATATACATTTATTAAGTCCACCTGAACTTCAGAACTAGTTTGTCAACTTCTTTTAAAAACAGTTGGAAAATTTTAGTGGACTTGTTATTCTTCAGGTAGTTCTTGCAAATTTTTTACTGCTGTGAAGAATACTATCTTTTTCATTATGTTTTCTAAACTGATTATGCTGGTACACTGCTTTCCTGTGCTGGTGTGTTTAAAAAAAAAAGGCACTGTGATTTTGTGTTTATCTTGTCTGGCCACCTTACTGAAGTTTGTTATTAGTTCTAGTTTTTTTTTTTCCAATTGATAATCTTGGATTTTTAACACATAGTCACAATGACAGCAACAATGACAATCTGGGCCTATCCTTAAAAGACAAGCAAGAAACAACTAGGGAAAATATTTCTAAAAATACATATATTAGACAATGTTTTCAATAAAGACCACCTAAGAATGAACAGACAACTTTAACAGAAAAAAGGAATTTCAATAAACCAAATTGTTTAAACAGACAGTTCACCAGACTAAAAACTGGTGAACACATTAAAATCATAACCTCACAGGGGCGCCCGGGTGGCTCCGTTGGTTGAACGTCTGCCTTTGGCTCGGGTCATGATCCCAAGGTCCTGGGATCGAGCCCCGCGTCGGGCTCCCTGCTCAGCAGGAGGCCTGTTTTCTCCCTCTCCCTCTGCCTGCCGCTACCCCTGCTTGTGCTCTCTCTCTCTCTCTCTCTGTGTCAAATAAATAAAATCTTTTTTTTAAGATGTTATTTATTTATTTGAGAGAATGAGCTAGAGAGAGCACGAGAGGGAGGAGGGTCAGAGGGAGAAGCAGACTCCCTGCCGAGCAGGGAGCCTGATGCGGGACTCGATCCCAGGACTCCAGGATCATGACCTGAGCCGAAGGCAGTCGCCCAACCAACTGAGCCACCCAGGTGCCCTCAAATAAATAAAATCTTAAAAAAAAAAAAAATCATAACCTCATTAATAAAAATACAAATTAAAATAACGAAATACCTTCTTTCAGCCAATGACTGCCAAGTAAAATAGATAATATCTAATGTTGGAAAGCATATGGAAAAATGAACACTCCAGATGGAATTACAAATTGGTAAGTCTTTTTACAGGGCAATTCAGCATTATCAAAAAATTAAATGCACATACTTTCTTCCAGAAATTCCACTTCTACGACTCTTTACATTTATATTCAGGTTCTAGAGTTAAAGGGTAAATTATACAATGCCTTATGGTAAAAAACAAAACAAAAAAACCTTAATGATCCTATAAACTGTTCAAGTATACGTAGTTTATGTATTCAAATATGCTTAATATACATAAATATAAATTACATTTACCGATGTACATATATCCTAAAGAACACACAGACAAAATTTTATTTATTTACTTGAAAAAGAGAGAGAAAGAGAAAATCCTCCACGCCCAGGGCTGAGCCTGAGGCGGGGCTCAGTATCATGACTCTGAGACCATGACCTGAGCTGAAATCAAGAGTTGGATGCTTAAACGACTGAGCCACCCAGGTGCCCCTAAAATTTTAGTTTTAATTATATAAGAGTATATATGGTTTAATTCTAACAAGTCAAATGCATAAAATGCAACTTTACTGCTTTATCAGAAATACCAGCACACCTGTTTCTATACGCAAAGAAGCTTCTTGCAATATCATTAACAGCAAAAAAACACTGAAAATAATTCAAATGTCAGTCAGCAGGAAATAAAATATATTATTATACATCTCTACAATGTAATACTATAACAGTCCTATACAGCTATTAAAAAGAATAAGCTACTGCTATATATTCTGACATGGAAGATTTAAGATCTACTGTCAAGTTAAAATGGAACAAATCACGTATTGCATGTTGCAAAACATTTTTATCTGTATCTAAGTGCATAGAAAGATGCATATTAAGCCATTAACTCTGATTACACTTCTGGAACAAGATGAGGATGGGAGACTGAGGAGAATATTACATTATTTGCTGCAAGGACTTCTGTATTTTTATACCTCAAAAATTACAAGTACTTATTACTTTGTAATTTTTTTTAACAGAAAAATGAGGGGCCATGGTATTTATGGTTCTTTGCAACTTTCTAAGTTTATGAAAAACAGGTGTTCTGAGGAGTCTCCATGTCGATTTCAGCTACAGATAATCCGTTATCTGGGAGTGAGTAGTGAAGATTCATTGTGCCCTGCACAGACAGCAAAAAAAAAAAAAAAAAAAAAAAAAAACCAGAGCTGCCATCCAACAATTCCAAACATTCTGGTAAACACTTAAATACCCAATGTTTCGTGTCTATATGAAACTAAACATTTTAATAGACTTTTCAGTGATCACAAACACAAAAGATTTTATTGTATTCTTAGAGAAGGTAAAATGATCTATGTGATCCTTTGAAGAACAAACTTCCCCCACCAAAAGAACAATAAATGGAAGACATCAAGAGGGCAGAATGAGGGTAAAAGAATGAGAGCGAAGAACATTCTATTTCCTAGGGATTAACATTTACACAAACACTGACTACGGTAATGGAGGGCCTTTTCCATCCTTTATCATTTTGTTTAGTTTATCTGGACGATGATGCAAAACAAACCCAAAATGAAGCACGGGACATGGCTACTATCTATGCAACTCTTCCAACTCATAAGTCACCAGGATCTCCAGACACCACTCTTGTGTCCTGGCTCACAGGGATTTCCCAACTCTGAAAATCCCACATTGCAATGTAACAGGACTTGAAATCTTACAAAAGGGATTCACTGTGTTACTTTAAAGTTGGGCCCTATACACAGTCATCTTAAGCATGAAACACACAACCAAGCTGACAAACCCCAGAAGCACTGATTTTAGATGAAGAAATCCGATGTTGTTCTCTCTGTGCAATGTGCTTCACCCATGCATGGTTCTCTCAAGGAGCCATCCCTCAAAGTCTGGCGGAAAAGCAAGCTGAAATACTGCAGGACTCCCATGTGCCAAACACGGAGCAAGGCACGGTGTGTCCACACACCGCCATCTAATGTACCAAGCAGTTAACCGCATGGTCCTGGCCCAGGTTTTCCCCAAGACAAAGCCATGACATCCTCCTGGCCAAGCCCACGCCCAGGTCTGTCTCTCCCCACCTCCTTCAGCCTGTTCCCAGAACCTGGTGTCCGACATGGTAAATGATACAGATGCTTGGAGAAGTGAACGAAGCTCAGAAGGACGAAAGCAGAATTCTCCAGGAAAAAGTCCTGCAGAGGAGGCTATCTGGCAAGGGGGCCAGCGGAAAGGTTTTAAGCAGGATTACAGAGCACATTTCCATTTTTTGAAAGGTCACCCTGACTGTCGTGAAGAGCAAGGACTATGGGGAGACACAGCCGGAATAGCAGTGCGCAAAGTTCCGCTGGCCACCTGAATAGGAGGGTAAGGGACTAGTTACAGAGGGAGATGGAAGAGGTGGGCACCTGGGTGAAGGGGGACAGATGTGGAGCACAGGAGGTTTGGGGGTGAGGATAATGACACCAGTTACTGGACGTGTGAAGTTCATTACGGTGTATGGAAGACATCCAACTGGAAGTGATGCAGATGCTAGGATATTTGAATCTGAAGCTCAGGGCAGAACTCTGGGAGGACAAAGGACATCCTCCATGGGCATGCAGGGTAAGAAAAAATGAAGACACAAGACAGAGGTTCTAAGGTATACTTTCATTTTAAGGACCAAATCAACAACAACAACAAAGATGAAAAGGAGAATAAAGGGGTAGGGGGTGGGAAGGGGGAGAGAAGTCTACAGTAAACATGGAAGCCAAGAAAATGTCACGAACAGAAAAATCCAAAAGTAAAACCTGTCAGTAATGGGATAACAAGCAATTTTTGTTTCTCTCATATTTTACTGTATTTTCCTAGGATCCTTGGTAGGCACATACTTATTACTCAAAGAAAAAAAAAATTTTAAGTAGGCCCCAAGCACAGCATGGGCCTGAATTCATGACCCCAAGATCAAGACCCAAGGTGAGGTCAACAGTTGTACTCTTAACCAACTGAGCCACCCAGGGACCCCTCAAAGAAAATTTTTTAGAAGAAAAACTCTGCAAAGCGTCTGCTATACTATCTTATAAATTTTAGAGCTATAGTCTATGATCCAGAGGGCATGTGTTTTGAGTTCCTTTACTGGGTCTGGTGATCTATCTGCTCCAGCTTCGTGACCAGTGACACACATCGCCCAGCTTCCTGGCCAAGGTGTGGAATCCCAGCAGAGCAGAGGTGGCTGGCCTACACACAAATGGTCCAGTGACCTTGGGTTCATTAGCATACTGTTGGAATCAAATGAGCTAACCAGCAACAGACCCTGCCTACTTTGTCCCACTGCCCACAACTACCAAAGCCAAACCAAAGTTCCCCAACTCTGCACCATTTCATATAAACAAGAGATTGCCTATACACATTCACAAGGCTCACCAAAATATTTGTTTATTGCCTCTAAAAAGGTCTTATGTTACTTATATGCAGAAGCATATCATTAATGAAAATGAGGGTAGCCCACGGAGCCAACATAGATGGTAACCAATGACCTACTGTTCTGATGACACGAAAAAGGAGGTCTGACCAAAATACTTCTAAGAAGTAACAGTCTACTCCTCTCTTGACCCACACCACCATTTTGGCATATTTTACAGCACTTACCTTCTCAGTCTACTCCAAGAAGGGTGCTGTTAATACCTCTCATTCTGTCCACTTTACAAATTAACACAAACTATAGGAGTTATTTACTTGACATTTGGGATCCAGAAAGATAGGACAGCTCTTCTTCCAGGGAGAAATGGGAATTAGAACAATGCAGTTTTCTTTTTAAAGTTTTTATTCATTTGAGAGAGAGCGAGCACGCATGCGTGAGCACACGGGCAGGGAGGGACAAACGGAAAGGGAGAAAATCTGAAGCAGGAATTAGGGCTCGATCCCACGACTTCAAGATCATGACCTGAGCCAAAACCAAGACTCAAATGCTCAACCAACTGAGCCACCCAGGCGCCCCTGCAGCTTACTTTAAAAAGGGAATGGGCTTCAGACTCAGCTGCCACACTGATCAATGATAGGGTATTGAACAAAAGCAACTCATAGGTCCCTTCCAGCTCAAAAACCAAGGATAACATAAATCTATGTCATTACGATGATAACCAGAGGGAGGAAAAATCTTTAAAATTGGATTTTGAACATGTAAATTTCCATCTTTACATACTACTGTTTGAAAAAAAATGCCTCTTTCATGAAAGGAAACTTTTGTCGTAATCTACATTGAATATTTATACATTTTTATTCGATTTTTAAAAAATGGAGCACGATTTGAATGTTGTACCTGCCATTTCGGTTTTATTTTATTGTTTTATTAAGTAAACTCTACTCCCAAATGCAGGGCTCGAACCCTCCACACTGAGATCAAGAGTCGCATGCTCCACCGACTGAGCCAGCCAGGCACCTGTCATTTTTTAAAAATACAACATTTTAAAAAGAATGCATTTACTTCAAAATAATTCTTAGGATAAGTAGCTTACCTTTCCAGAAAATTTAAGAATTTTGGATTATTCTGTCCAAGTGGATTTTTACTATACTTGGTTCTCCAAGGGCAAGAAGCACAGAGATGGGGTGCTAAAAATAGATGCTATACAGTGGAGGGAAAAGTACTTGTGAGAGCTGGACCAGCAATTAGCAAAAAGTGGTATCACCAGTATTAAAATAGGAAATCTGAGCCCGTTCCGGGAACAAGTCCTGGACTGCCACAGCCATCGAGCCTCCCAGGCTGGCCCAGCTCCCCAACAGAAGTCCCTGGGCCTAGTGGACAGCCTTATAAGGCAACCAAGCTCAGAGAGAAGATAACAACAACGCGGAGCACTTAACATTTCCACAGGCCTCTGCAAATATTAACTCGTTAGTTCTCACGGTATGCTGGGAGAGCTCGGCCATGTCATTGCCAAGAGACTAGAGAAGACAGAGACCTGACGTACTACAGTTAATAGTGTGCATGGGTAAGGAGCCGGCAGCTCTCCTTGGGTGCTTGGTTTGTGGCCAAGAGCACCTCAAATTGGGTCAGGAAAGGAGTCAACGCTTTCCTATTAACGAACAGGAAGGAGGAGGAGGAAGATTTTTCAACTTTGACAGTGAGGAACAGGCTCCAGCCTCCCTCCTTGCATCTCCCACAGGGTCTCCCCGTAAGATTCCAATCCTTGGAGTAATTAAGACTCCTACTTGAACAGGCTAGGAAAAAGCAGCAAGATACAGGCAAGGGTATGGAGTAAAGACATGGTTTAGTGTGAGGACAGGAGACTTGCTCTCCCCGAGTTGGTTTTCATTCTCCAAGGGGACACTTAATTAATATCCACCTCTTCCCCTTTGTGAATAAATTTGGCCAACTGTAATTATAGCGCCTGCAAAAAAAAAGTAAGACAGCCATCTATACAGCTTGGAGAGGGTTACAGGGTCTCGTTAAATTTTTTTTAACTAAAAAAATTTCAGGGGGCTTGGGTGGCTCAGTCGGTTGAGCGTCTGCCTTCGACTCAGGTCATGATCCCAGGGTCCTGGGATGGAGTCCCGCATCGGGCTCCCTGCTCATTGGGGAGCCTGCTTCTCCCTCTGACCCACCTCCCCCTGCTAGTGCTCTCACATGCTCTCAAAAAAAAAATAAATAAAAAATAAATCAATGTAATAGTTATCAAATAAGGTTTCTTGAGAATCTATACTGTAGGACATCTTGAGGCCAGGTGCTGGAAATATACAAGAGCAGCAGTTAACTGTGTGTGTATACATTTCTAAATCTCCTAGAATGCAAGCTCTGCTAGAAATCTAAAGTCTCCACAAGATCAAGACTCTTAGCTTTGTTCACTGATTCTCCGCCAAGGCCTACTATGTGTACAGCATAAAGTCAGTGCTCCGTATGTATATATGTATTTGTTGAATGGTCTTAAAAAAAAAAAAAAAAAAGAGCTCAAAGTCCAAATAAACAAACATACATAGATATGTGTGAAAGAACAGAAGTGCATGTACGAGGTAGCATTCAGCTGCTAAGTGGGAGGCTGACATAATAGTTCTATGGACGGAAAGCTCCACAGGCAAGAAGGGAAGCCCACAGGGTAAGCCTGGAAGAAAAAAAATGTAAACGCATGGAGTGAATGGAAGAAAGCACTCTATGCACTAGAACCTCAGGGACCTGGAGGGGGTCCCTGTAAGAAGGGACCTCTGTAGGGGCGCCTGGGTGGCTCAGTTGGTTAAGCGACTGCCTTCAGCTCAGGTCATGATCCTGGAGTCCCGGGATCGAGTCCCACATCAGGCTCGAGTCCCACATCGGGCTCCCTGCTCAGCGGGGAGTCTGCTTCTCTCTCCGATCCTCCTCCCTCTGATGCTCTCTGTCTCTCATTCTCTCTCTCGCAAATAAATAAAATCTTAAAATATAGATATATAAATAAAAATTAAAAAAAGAAGGGACCTCTGTAAGAACAGAGCACCCAAAAAGTGGCAACAACTTAAATGTTCAATGATGAATGAATAAAGAAAATGTGGTATATATCCACACAAGGGAAACACTATTCAGCCATAAAAAGGAACAAAGTGCTCGGGGCGCCTGGCTGGCTCAGCTGGTAGAACATTCGGACTCTTGATCTCAGGGTCCTGAGTTCAAGCCCCATGCTGGGCATGGAGCCTACTTAAAGAACACTAGACTAGCTGTTGGGTTGGAGATTGAAGAGACCGTGCACACAGGAAGATAGTAGACAAGTTCAGAAATGCAGGAAGGGGCCTGGGGGGTGGGGGGGCCGGCTTTGTCAGCTAAAGAAATCTGGATCTTGGGGCACCTGGGTGGCACAGTTGGTTAAGCATCTTACTCTTGGTTTAGGCTCAGGTCGTGATCTCTCCGGGCCACCAGAGTCTGCTTGAGATTCTCTCTAGCCCTCCCTCTGCCCCGCCCCACCCCTGCTCTCTAAAATAAACCTTAAAAAAAAAAAAAAAAAAAAGAAATCTGGATCTTACCCACTAACAACAATAAACAGTGGCAGCCGCTTCTGTCCCGTTCTTCACAGCACCTTCATATGCTTCAGACCCTTTATCAAGGAATTTGCAAATGTTTTCAAGTGTCTTCAGGAGCTAGCTGATTTATGGGAGTAACACCTTTGGAAGAGTCAATTGCTAGGAGTAACGAATGGACCAGGGATGAGAGAAAGGCATTGCAGGCTGGGGGTGTCCTTTTGAGTCCAGACCAGGGGGACGGAAAAGATGGAAGAGAGCAGACTATGGCGTGAAATCCAAGGCAACCCAGAGTTTCTGAAACTAGAGATACTGCGTATAACTGGGTGACTCACCTCCTTGAAAAGAAGTTGCCACATTACTGATCACAGAGGACCTGGGCAAGTCCCATATCTCCCAAGAGGCACGAGGCTCAAAAGACCTCTTATCTCCTTGGAATATATACTTCTCTGAAGAATACCCCTCCAGATGGGCATGGAGGTTCAGCATAAGAGGACAAATTTAGAACTGCCTACGTTTTCAAATCCAGGCTTTGGTATTTATTAGTGACCTAAACCAAGTTATTCACTTCCTGAGCCTCAGGTCCTCACCTGTACATCAAGAGTAACGGCGGCTGGTACCCACCTGCTATCGGAGGGAGGCCTAAAGGAGTTAACATACAAGAAGCGATGTACGCAATGCCTAGAACCAAGTCAACAAGATCCCCTGGTAACCCATCGATTACAGTTCTCACATTAGCTAGGCTTCTGTATAGCACTTAACCAGTTTGTGAGCCTGTATTTACTTATGCTTTTATTTGTACAATACACACTTCCCCACCACACTGAAAGTTCCAGGAAGGTCAAGTTCAAGGTCTGTCTGCTGCCCATTGTGTCACCAGGGCTTCATACAGCAGGAGGGCAGTATCATTGGAAGGACTCTCTCACCTAGGCATTATACATTTGGTTTCCAAAGCCAAGAGCCACTGTGACTGATAAACCGTCATGCTATCCTGAAGAGTCAGAATAGAGATTCATTCATGGAGTAAAGAGCTTCATCAAGGAAGCCAAGGAGGGAACAGAGAGGAAAATGCTTTATTTTTCCAGTATGCTAATCTGAACAGTCTGTGTGGCCTTGCAAGCCTAGTTTAAAAAAGGGAAAAAAAAAAAAAAAAAAGTTTAGCATATTGACATTGGGTTCTGAAGGTTGTAGATCTATTCTGTATAGCACAGGCCTGGTTGGGGAAACCAATGACAACGGACCAAAAAAAGGTCTTGAAAATATCCTTATTTTTCATTTACTTATTTATTCATTAAAAGTTAACAGCCAGTTAGGCTTCTCCTTGCCATATAAGTACACCCACATTCATTCCTATTTCCAAACCCTTATGAAGGGGTATGATACCCTCCTACTCCAGTGCCCATTTCTACCTATTTCAATCTTATCAGTTCATTAAGGCTCATCTCTTTCTTCCACCAAGCTTGTTTTACTCTCATCCACACTGCTCTCTCTGAATTTCTGAGCCCTGTCTGTATTACACAACTTGTCAACTTATATAGGAACTTAGTATTATTTTCCCATTGTTTTCTGCGCTGACGAGGTCTTTCCAAGTAGGAAAGGAAGTAGGCAGGAAAAGTGCTTCTTGGTAACCACCTCTACATCCCCACTGAAGAGCCAACAAAACACTGGGTTCAAGGCCTGTCTTCAACCAGGACTAATGACTGTACCCCAGGGGAGCTGAACCTCTTCACCACTAAACAATGTTCCCCTTCACCGACTCCCTCACCAGCTGTCAACTGAAATCAAGGACTCAAGGAAAAGGCGGCACGTTTTTATTTGCAAAAGTTTCCAGCCCCTTTTGGAAAGGCATTATGTGCATCTAAATTCAGTATTTCATGACCTCCATGGGAATTTACCCTGAAAGACTGTTGGATTAAAGCTAAATGAGATGCAAATTCCATTCATATGTAAGAGTCAGGATGAGTCAAGACTGAGGTTTCCATTACATCTGCTCGTTTCCTCGAGTCACACTCTAAGAACATGTGTGTAGGCTTTGTGGAGGGTGTGTGCTCTGCAGGAATGTTCTGTTAACAATTAAGGAGGCCTCGTGGGCTGGGGGTTGCCCTGACTGTACAGGGAGACCTGAGCTTTACTCTTCAGATGGTGTTTGGCTCTGGCTACATGGTGGGCACCCACAGGGAAAACAGCCCCTGTGGGGAAGAGGGGATGCCCTGATGGTCTGTCACTTAGACGGAGAAACACTTGTGCCCATTCAGACACTGGAGCTCCAGGCCCTCCTCCTCAACTTAGAGGGAAGGAAAACGTTCCCACTAACAGATACACTGCACAGTCCACACCTCATAAAAAGCATTGTTTTAACTTTATAAAATCTCCCTCCACAGATGTCCTTAGTTAGCAGTCCTCCAAAACTTACGTTGAACTGAACGGTGTGTCCAAGAATGTCTCCTGTCTCCAGAGCAAGCCCACCATGTGACCAGAAAAGCAGAGATGGGACGTATCCACCAGTTCTGAGACACAGGTTTCCACAACGGAACATCTTGGAAATCGAGATGCATCTTACAGCTGTTTTTAAAATTGGCAGGGTTATTGGTTCACCTGAAAACTGCTGGAATGGATTCACTGAAATGCTCTACACATGCACACAGAACGCCTCAGGTATTGGCCTCCTCCCCAGTCATTGAGTTTACGGCCAGCAATATATATAAAGGACCTAATACACTAAGATCACAAAATCAACACTGTTCATGGTGTTCCACTGAACCTGAGAAGGACCTCTCCAGAAATTAAGCATTTTCGGGCCTACAGCAGTACAAGAAACAATTGGGAGAGGTCTTGAAATGGGGTGGGGTTTTTTGTTGTTGTTAAAGTCAATACGTAATGTCCAAGCATTGTACAGATCAGACAGGAATATTAATTATGAAGCACAGAACGCAAATGTGGAAAACTCCACAGTTAGAGGAGGAACCTCTGAAAACATTTTAAAACTGCAGTGGCAGGGGATGCAGGAAAAAGGGGCCTGCTGATAGTCTTGGTGGGAGTATAAGTTAGTACAATGTTTCTGAGATTTGGCAATAAACATCAAATGTCTTAAAAAGAATGCATGCCCTTTGACCCAGAAATTCCAGTTCTAAGAGCTTAAGCTTAGGAAATCACGAAGGGTGTACACACAGATTTAGCTGGGAGGATGTTCAGCAGTGTTTATATCACAAAGCTGGAAACAAGCTCCACGCTCAATAAAGGATGGATAAGACATATGAAGGCACATCCTTATGGCATAGTACAAAGAATTGAAAAGGAGGCAGCAGAAATGTATCCACTGGCACGCAAAGATGTTCATGACATAATGCTAAGTTTCAAAAAAAAAAAAAATGAATGTAAACACTTTTATAGTATGATCTCATTTTTGTTAAAATAGAAAGAAGTGTGCTTGTACACAGAAAAGGACAGAAGACACATAATGAAGTTTTAACACTGGTTGCCAAGAAAGGAATTGCAGAATTGTTGGGGGTTGGGGGGGGGGTTGTTTTTTGCTTACCTGCATTTGAGGAGGGCGGGGGGGGGGAGGGAGAGGAGGGGATAATGTGGGTGAATTTATTCTCCAATAAGAAAAAGTGAAAAGAAACTCGGGACACAATGTGATCCAATTAGGTGAACAAATTGGCTTAGGAATCTTGGAAAGGAATCTCAATCCTAAAAAAAATAAAAGAAATTAAATATCCAATGGATTCATTACCATTATTTTAATCTCTAAAAGAGAAGCAATACATTACTACCCTTCCTTGGAGGAATGTTGGGAGAAACGACAGAATTAAGTGCGTAACAGGATTTAAAATATGCAAAAATATCCCAGGAGGAAATCTCTGCAGTACATAGAAGCTATGCCGTAGGAGTGGGTGCTACAAATGTCCAATATGGCAGCGAAAAATTACATCAATATCCTAGAGCTGCCACAAAGGCACACGACCTCAGGACTTCACAAGGAACAATATGCTTCCTCTACCACGTCCCTATAGGAGAAATCTCCTCTCAAAATTAATCCTTTAAAAATGGGGAGGGAGGGCGCCTGGGTGGCTCAGTTGGTTAAGCGACTGCCTTCGGCTCAGGTCATGATCCTGGAGTCCCAGGATCGAGTCCCGCATCGGGCTCCCTGCTCGGCAGGGAGTCTGCTTCTCCCTCTGACCCTCCTCCCTCTGATGCTCTCTGTCTCTCATTCTCTCTGTCTCAAATAAATAAATAAAATCTTTAAAAAATAAATAAATAAAAATGGGGAGGGAAAAAAAAATGGGGAGGGAGGGGAGGTATTTATGACAGGCTTTCCAAGGAAGAGGACCGCAATTTCAGTTTGGAAAATACAATGCACATTAGTTTGGTGGAGAGATTTCAGAGAGCACTGGAATGAGGAGGAGGACCCAGGTCACACGAATGGATTTCTGTGCCGGTCTCCTCTGTACTGAGCAGCACCCAAGTTTTCCTTGGGCAGCCTTTATTACGGAGTAAGGAAAAGTAACACTTTTTTTGTTGACTTCAGGATAAGCTCGCACCAACAGGATTTCTCTGCATAATCATGACCCATGACTTACAACAGAAACAAGAGCAATTTTCATGTTGATTAAAGGCCTGTGGGGCTTAAGGAATGGAGAGGAAAGGACAGTTAATAGCTAAAACTTCTCCAACGTGTATTTGCCAAAAGCAGAAACTCACAATATTCCAAAGCCCCATAAGCATTTTTGAGGCTTTGTTCCCGCCCCCCCGCCGCCCCCACAACTGACTTTTGTTTTTGTTTTTTAAGATACAGAGTCCGCAGGCTGGGTGCACTATGACCAAATGGCAACAGATGCTGGTCTTGCAGAGGGCAAGACATTTCCCTTTGATCATCCAAGAACATGGAAAGAATGGACAAACATTCCCAATCAGGACATTTTCACTTGGCTTCAAGGTTTACCAGTAGTTGCATGGAGGTGAAGAGTTACAGAAAAAGCTGCTCCTCCATCCCGTAAAATCAGATCCACTCCATCCCTGAATCCATCGAAACTACAAACTAACCTAGGCGAAGTATACTGGTTTGGAAATGTTTAGTCTTCCTCACCGTTGCTTGCAGCAGAAACCGGTCTCCAGGCAAAGCATTCCAGCACCAGGCACTGCTTAGTAATAAGCAGCTTAAATGTCGTGGGTAGATTATCACTGGTATTTTTATCTTTTCTTTGTAAAAATACAAGTGATGTTACCATAGATAATGACTGGAAAATAGTGGGATACTTTAAAAATGCAAAACATATGCCAAGTGTACACTGTATATAAGCCTCCAGAAGAATCTAAGTCAGTACGTATCTCCACATGTGTAAATTAACAACACTACAACAGTAACGTTTCCCCTAAGTTTATGTCTTAAGAAAATGAGAAACCCTGGGGCGCCTGGGTGGCTCAGTTGGTTAAGCGACTGCCTTCGGCTCAGGTCATGATCCTGGAGTCCTGGGATCGAGTCCCGCATCGGGCTTCCTGCTCGGCAGGGAGTCTGCTTCTCCCTCTGACCCTCCCCCCTCTCATGTGCTCTCTCTCTCTCTCATTAAAAATAAATAAATATTTAAAAAAAAAAAAAAAAGAAAATGAGAAACCCTATCAAGACATCAGACACTGGAATTCTCAGTGAGAATCCTTTTTCCATGCAAGCCCTGGAATTTACAATGATTGGGTCTCTTTTAAACAATACTGCACCCCTCAATTCATAAAGATAGTCTTCCAACACATTTAGTACATGAACAAAGCCTTTTCACACAGGGTTCTGAGCGGCAGCTTCAGTCCTGTCTCTGCAATTATTAAGACTGGTGCTGTGAAGTAAACCAGCTCTCTCCCCTTAGCACACCAGTGCCCACCGAAGACATCACCAGGCCTTTCTAAAAATACAATGACAATATAAAGCCTAAAAATAGTGACGCAACAATGTGCTTTGAAAAGATGTTTGTCGTTTTCAAGTGTTCTGAAAACTAAGTAGACCACAAAACCATTTTCAACAAAATGTTTGTTTCTAATTATTAGTGGGAAGATTTATATTCCTGGGGGGAAAAAAAAAATGGTGTGCCCGGAAGAGAAGTAGTTTATTGCAGCAAGTCAGCAAGAATTTGTAAAGGCAAAATAATTTTGATAAGACAGAACTACTCTGCTACAATATAAATTCAGGATCCCGCTATAGAAGTAGTGGTAATAATGAGCAGTCACTTTAAAGTGCGGGAGCATTCCAAAGCAGGGGCAAGGCCCGACATTTCATTTCTTCGTATGGGCCGGCTATCAACACAGCAATGATTACAAATCCCTTGTTAGTCAAGAGGCAGAGGTCACCAGCTATTATTGGATCATCGTTTAGATTTAGAAGAATGAAAAGCAGTTAACACAGTAATTCAAATCTTTGCTTCATTTATAAATCCATGTTTGGGGCGCCTGGGTGGCTCAGTCGTTGGGCGTCTGCCTTCAGCTCAGGTCATGATCCCAGGGTCCTGGGATCGAGCCCCGCACTGGGCTCCCTGCTCGGCAGGAAGCCTGCTTCTCCCTCTCCCACTCCCCCTGCTTGTGTTCTCTCTCTCACTCTGTCTCTGTCAAATAAAATCTTTTAAAAATAAATAAATCCACGTTTACTTACAGAGACATGGATCATACAAAATAGCTTCTCCCCCCTTCCTCATTCTCTCTCTGCATTTTGCTGGTGATGGGTTTTTCCAAGAAGTCCAGATTAAAGACAACGTCACACAGCCTGTAATTCTGCCTAACTTGGTTCCTTCTTGCCTCCTGCGGGAGGGGTGGAAGGAGGGGTAAGAAGCCACACTAGCCCAAAGCCCACCCCAGGCCCTACTCTTAAACTACTCTGGCACTCATAGTGGGTACCACCTGGGACACTCAGGAGGGCAAGCAGGGAAGGCATTTTCTCCTTTCTCCCCTCCCCCATTAGGATGGCTAAACAGAGATTCATTTCGTAGCTCAGGTCTTCTGCATAACCCCTTCTCAAAACACAAAGACTCAGGATGGGCCTTAAAGAGTCCTTTTGTTTAGAGAGGGTCATTTCCTGCCGTTAGCTCACACCCAGAAACTCCCACCCATTTCTCAAGGAGAAGCATTGATTTTCTTAGTAAAAAAACAACAACAAAGCAAAACAAAATTTCAGGCTTAAAACCATGCCCCTCCCCCAACAGCCTCCACCCAAGATGGAACTTGGCTGGTGGGCCACCCCAGCAGCATCCTCTACCGGGATTCAGAAACGGAAGGGGAGGGAGGCAGAGACACGGGAGTGGAGTTAGGATTCTTTTCAAGCACAGCAGGCATTGTCTGTCCAATCCCCATGATTTAGTTAAGGAAATGAGCTTAAATGTCAAAGCAAGCAGCTTAAAGGGCTTGTCCTAGGTCCCTCAGCAAAAAAAAAAGACAAAAAATAAAGAGTATCAATGATCTGGTCAAGAACCGACTATCAGAGGACTTATATACCATTGTCTATAAACCACTGTCTCTAAGACTAATGGACAATGGATGACGGTTAAGTTTAAGAAGTTTGCTCAAGGTCAAGTACTAGGACGCAAATGCCATAAATGGGGATAAATCCAATGGCCTGCATGGTCATGAGTGCATTAGTATGCTCAATTAACAGGCAGTCTGGTGACCAAAGTAATGACGACTTACATTTTTTTCTTCCTGAAATGTCATCTGCTCTGCTTTACAAGGAATAAAAACAGTGTGAGTTTGTGAGGCTGACAAGTGGGTAGAAATTGTAGCTGCAAATTGCCTCCTCCATAAAGGTTCACAGAGCCCAGATTAGGCCTTCCCTCATGGCTGCCCATACAGGTGCTTAAAGGCTGGATTCGTCCAGCTAAAGCCTGCCTTATCCTGAGCTATGCCTTTTGTAGGCAAGGGGAGGAAAGCATACTGAGCTTGGGGCTAGACTAAATCAAAGGAGAGTGCTAAGTCTATCTCCAAATCAATTCCACCTGGATTATTAACATTAACCCTTTGCAACCCTACAGACAGACACATCTGCAAAACAGGGATCCAATTCATCTTGCCCTACTTTTACTTATCACGCCTTGCCGGGCCCACATCACACTCCCGGTTCTGTGGAATTTTGTGCTAGGTTTCCGTTCTAGCTGGACAAAGGCAAGGATTCCATTATGTGCACACCCCCAGACAAAAGACCTAATCACTCGCCATCTAAAATTTCTGGCCTAGAAACTAACATAACACTGCATGTTAACTAGCTGGAATTAAAAACGTAAAAAGCCAAAAAATAAATAAAATTTCTGGCTTACAAGCGATGCGATGATGTGACTTTCTGATGTAATTAAGTGGGGATGGGCATCCAGAAATGCTCATCTTCAAGGCAGCAGTAATCAAAATTTAATTCAAAACTGCTGGAAAAGGTTTCGGACAATATGTATATTGCACAGGCCCCAAGTCTGACAGGTTGGTTCATATTCCAGTCACTTAACAAATTTATTTGGCAGTTCCAGGCATTGTTCTAGGCACTGAGGGTTACAGCCTTAAACAAGACAGAGGTCCCTGCTGCCAGGGAGTAACATTCCAGGAGTATAAGACAAGTACATTAAGTAATGTCAGTAAGGAAATACATGAGGGATATGGAAAATAAAAGAGGGACAGAATAGTGCTTGGGAATGTGGGGTACTTTAAACCTGGAGATCAAAGATCTCTCTGGGTAACATCTGAACAGAGATATGAATGAATAAGGATGAGGCTGCCTATCTGCAGGTAGGATTTTTCAGGCAGACCCAACAGCACGCACAAAGGCCCTGAGGCAGGAACAAGTTTGGCAAGTAGAAGCTATCTAAATAAGGCCCAAGCAGCTGAAGCATAATGAATGAGGTTGTGATTCCTGGTAGATGAGGTCAGAAACCAGCAGGGCCTTGATCACATGAACCTCGTGCACCACTGGAAAAATTTTAAGCTCTTACCCACCAGCACTAAAACTTCAGACAAATTGCTTAATCTCTCAGAGCCTCAGTTTTCTTATACCAAAACCATGGGATGAAACACCTCATTTGGTTGTTAAAGTGCAACATTTAAAAACAGAGTAGACGTTGCTCAGTAAATGCTTTTAAGGAGTGTGCAAAAAGAAAAAAAAATCCATAAACACGTTTACAAGTTTGATTACATTTGGATATGCACCTGATCTTCAACTCTCCAATTTTCTTACACAGAAGATGGAAAAGGAGATTTTTGCAACCAAGATGGTCTCAGCGTTTGTTAGCTCTAACAGTCCCTTTGCTCAGTACGGGAAAGAGCTAGGAGATTCTGGAAAAGGAGGAACTGGGGCTTAGAGTGGAGGGGGTGGGGGGAGACGGAATCAGGACACTGGACTCCAGCACTTTGCAGGTTTCCTTCTGCTGATAAAGCCCTGAGGAGAAGCAATTCCCAACGTTTTTAGTCTCCAGTCACCCAGCGTCCCTGGGCAGGCACAGGACAGAAGTGTGTGTATGTGAGAGAGAGAAAGAAAGTCTGCATGTGTCAGAGAGAGACCCTCACCCAGCCCACAAACACATCCTGTTGGCTTAGAGGAATACTGTATTTAAAAACAGATGCCTTTTCGGAAACTCACACTTTTTAAATCCTGTAAATCACACATGCTGGGGAAAGTAATTACACTTTTGTGGCACTTCCCTCAGAGCACAAAGGAAATTCTGGTACTTCTGTAATAAGGTAGCACTTTCTGGGCTGTGCCTTCTCTCAGGAGGCCCCAATTGCCCATCCTATAGGTGGGCAGGAGAGAAATTCTCACAAAACAGAATCCTGGGGATTCAAGGAAAAGCAGTTTTTAGTTTTTGTTTTTAATCTCTGGGATTTCTCTTAGGATAATGTTGGCCACCGACCAGCCTATCTACCTGGTGACATTAAATAAGTCAGGAAGAGCAGAGAACATCATTTAAAAACCGACTCATGAGAACTAAAGAGGAGTTGAAAGTAGGAACAGGTCTCTAACTCACTTGCATCGTGTTGGTGAGATGCACCTCAATTCTCAAGACCCTTTGCAAAATCCTGGGGGCCCCCAGGATTGAGGTAGGCTGTGTCAGCATTCCTTCCGCATTTTAAATTTGTGTGACAATACTGTATTACAGCCTGGAATTTGGAACTATCTTCCCGGTGCGATTGGCATTTATTACTGCCATTTCCTTTTTCCCTCTTGGATTCTACATAACCTGCATCATAATGGGTGCAGCAGGGGGAAAAACCTATGAGGAATACAAATGCAGGTGGTTGTTTTTCTTAAAATTCCCAGACCACCTTTCTTTCTTCAAGGGGTGACACGGAGCTGTGAGCAGCAAACTTTTAGGAAAGCACAGATGAGCCAATGGAAAAGAGGACCCACCGAGTAAGAGGAGCTTGGGGTCTGGCAAAAGGCTCATTTTACTCCCCACCTAATAAAGTCAGGAAAGAACCAAAAAACGTGAGGGAATGTTTTCTCTGGGTCTTCCCCCTTTACCTTCCAAACCCATCTACAAAAATCTTAGGGTAGCTTGATTTTTCCCTTCTAGGCTAGGGTACAGCGTTGGAAAAAGAAAAGTCGGAGGACCAAAAGCCTCGGAATTAACTGCAAATCGTAGAGGAAAAAATTTCCAGAGACCGTTGATGAAAGCAAAAAAAAAAAAGTGTATGGGAAATACTATATATACCTAGATTTTTCTAAGCTTCCCTCCCACACTCAGGCTTTCAAACAGATAAGCACACTGAATACTATTATCTTATAAACTAGGCAGATACAGAACACATTCTCATATTCCTAAATTAAAAAGTGCTTTAAAAAATTTGCTTCAGTTTTTCCTGAGCATTTCCAGGTCTTCCCCTTCCCTCGAAGTTCTCGGTTTTGTCTTTACATACATTCAAGTGTTAGGTAGATTTGGGGGGGGGGGGTCTTTTGTGGCCCACCCTCACAAGGTTCCCCAGGAACCAGAGTCCCACGCCTCTCTTCAGTTTTCCAGGCACTCCTTCACATTACCCACCTTTTCAATTACCGGCTATATAGACTTAAACTCTTCTGAAAATTGCTTTCAAGATCAGACGTCTCCTCTGCATCTCCAACCCCGCTGGCTTCACCTCCTCATGGCCTTCTCCCCCCTTTTCAACCGCTCAATTTGCTATTTCTTGTACAAAGAGGACCACCATGTAGCTGGCCGTCCAGAGGAGAAACTCTGAGAGGCTTCCAGAATGAAACTCCTCGTCTCCCCTCGGCGCTGACAGTTACTGAGGCCCCTGAATACCTGTGGCTGAGTCGCTGCTGCCACTTTCCTTGGAGACTAGGATTCCTGCAGTACCAGCGTTACTCTTCTCTCTCAACTCTTCCCAACCCTGCTGCCTCCCCTTTCCCACTGGCAGGTCCCATAGGGCCGGGTCCCTGCTGCACAGCAGCGCGATGCCAACCAAAGAGTGGAGTCGGCTTCCCTGGCATGAGAGGCAAGCTCCTCTACCTTCTCCCCCAACCAATGCCGCTCCCCAGCCTCATCCTCAACTCCCCTTCCTCTCCTGCCATGCCTTGCTTGCTCTCCCCCGCTCTTAAGCCTGCATCTCCACACAGGCCCATCTTCCACCCACGGTCTCAACCCTTCCCTCATCTGGCAAGAAGTGAATTGAGAATCTTAGCTCCAATATCAGCTCTTTGGGGGTACAGCTCAGTGGTAGAGCATTTGACTGCAATGTCAGCTCTTTGACACAAGGCCTTCACCCTCTCGTCCTTGCAGTACTGTGTTCCCAACTCTAACTCCACTTGGGCCCCATGCTTCATTACACCTGTTTACATGGGGCCGTCACCACCCCAACCCGGAGCAAGTGACCAGCAGAAACCAGCTCGCGCAGCGCCCCCCCCCCCCCCACACCAACCTGCACTCCAAGTCATCTTCCCATCACAAAAGATTCATCACCATCCTAATATAATACCTCCCTCAGCTCTCGGGGAGGATAAAATAATGGAGTTTGCGTATAAAGTGCCCAGTACCTGGTAAATATTCAGAAGTAAATACTCAGAAGTTAGCATTTATTATTTGAGTGAATGGATTAAAAAGATTTCTGAGAATTGCATAGGATCAAACATTCCAGTCTTTTTTCTATTGAGCAAAAACGACAAACCAGGCAACAACTTTACTGTGATAAGCTCAAACGTGCAACCTTCCTTGAGTTTGCAGTCATGCCCCCCCCCGCCCCCCGCAATGATGCACTGAAGTGGTTTCGAATAGTCTCCCAGTACTCTTTTCAAGATAGGGATGTGAGTGCGAGGCGTGCCAACCCAAGTCTTCCCCACACATCAAGTAGACTCATCCCCATCACCAGATGACGTCCTTGCATCAACAGCGTCAATTTAAATCCCTGGTCCCTGCTGGCCTCAAGCCCACTGAGCCAGGCGGCCACTTCTGCTCCAGCTATGATTAAGGTTCATTCCCCTCATTCCTTCCTAAGTTTTTTCTTTGACCAAAGCAAGCACTGTTCAAGAGGAACATTTGCATTCCCTTTCCCCCTTCCCCCAGGCAGACACTAAGGTGCCAAATGAAACTGAACACAAACATTCCAAAGTGGCTGTCACACAGAGCAGGCTTGTTTGGGAACACAGGGAGCTCCGGGCTCTTCCACCTCACCAAAGCTCCCAGGAGCCCGCGTCCAAAAGGTCAGAGTTCCACGGCACCCACCACCAAATTCTATTGGTGAAAACCCAAATGTCCCTCCGGAGAAGCAGAGAGGCTGTAGATGGCAGGTGGAGCGAGTTCATTTCCCACCTGATCCATCCACAACTTCCCTAATTTCCCAGTGGGCAAGGACCTGAATAGTAACTAAGTGTCTGCTTTTTAACAGCCTACCTATACTAAGTCATCATCACCAACCCTACCAATAAGGATATTTCACATTTACAAATTATTTATAAAGAATTATATGTGTATATATGAGTAAGTGTGTGTGTCTGTGGGGGAGTACTCACCTGGTACTGGAGTACTATCTTTGGGTAGGAGTTGAATATTGGGAATACTGTAATGAGATGGCATCAATCTTTTTAAAAAAAACAATTACATGAAAGAAGGTAATGATCCAGGAGTTAAAGAGAACAAAGCAACTTCTACTGGAATTCTGAGGACAACCATCCCTTTGGGATGGAACCTTCAGGTGACAAGAGTCTGCACAATGTAGGCTGAAACTTGGCTCCTGCCTTGAAAGCAGCTCAAGCTAGATCAAGAGGGAAAAGATGGTTGGAGCAAATGGTTTACAGAGCACAGGGGTACATGAGGGCAATCCTGACTGTCAAGTTTGGACTTTGTTGTACAGAGAACAGATCAGTGCTGAAGGACCCATTAGAGGACCGAGCAGTATGATAGAAAGATGCACTGAGAAAGCATGGTAGAACAAGGTGAGCAGCTAAAGAGCACTAAGATGAGCCAGGAGAAAAGGAATGAGTGAGAGCAACACAGAGAAGGGCTGCAAGGAACTGAAGAGGCTGGGTTCCTGCAGCAAGGCTTGGGAGCAAAAGGAAGTGGGACCAACCCAATGGTTTTGTGACATCTACAAGTACAGCAAAGAAATTCCACGGAATACTCAAAGAAAAAGACAGTTGGGTGGGTTTGTTTTTTGTTTTTTTTTTTTACAATTTTGTTCACATGTTCATTTTAGAAAATTTAGAAAGCATAGAAAAGCATTAGAAGGTAAAAATCTAATAATTTTTATTAATATACATATATTTTTTTTACCTATTTGGGGTTTGGTTTTTTTTTTTTTTTAAGAATTGGCATCACAAAGAACTTTTAAATCTGTTTTTGTTTAATGTCCTAACATTGACAATTATGCCCTCAATTAAAATGTTGTCAGAAGCCGGGAAGAAAAAGTCAGATTCTCCAATACAGCCTTCAGAGGGAATGTGGCAACGCGGACACCTTGATTCCAAATTTCTGGCCTCCAGAACAGTGAGAGAATGCATTTCTGCTGCTTTGGACCAACAACAACAAAAGTAAATATATGCATATACATATACATCCTTTAAAAACATGGCCTTTCATGGCTACTTATTATTCTCTTACAGAAATTATACCATGATTTACTTTAGCAATGTCCCTGGGTAAGACATTGAAGAGTCTTTATGACTGTTCACTATCAGAAGTAACTAATTCACGAACATATCTTGCCATATAATAGCAAAGTCCTCCAGAAAGCTGCATGAATTTGCGTCACCTTGCAGTACACATCAGCGCCCACTGTCTTGCCTCATCACCAACAATGAATTCATTCTGTCCGTGAAGCACAAATTCATACGAACCCACAAAAACCGTATGAAAGCAACTCTGAAAAGAACCTCTACCCTATCAAACGATCCACCCAACAACAAAAATGCCATGGAGAAACAAAGACTGCACAAGAACACAAGGGTTTATGAGGGAAATTTTAAAACTACTGGAAAAACAGCTCAAAAGCACATGCCATATTTGCAGGCTTCTTTAGCAGCATTTTACTAGGAGGTCATTGTGCTTTCCTTTTGGAACTATCACCAAAGCCTCTTCAAAGGCTGAAATAGGTTTGTTATATTAGATTTGATTTGGAATAACAGACTCCAGACGTGGTTGAACTGTTTAAGAGTATTCTGAGTCTTGGGACGCCTGGGTGGCTCAGTCGTTAAGCGTCTGCCTTCGGCTCAGGTCATGATCCCAGGGTCCTGGGATCGAGTCCCGCATAGGGCTCCCTGCTCGGCGGGGAGTCTGCTTCTCCATCTCCCTCTGCTGCTCCCCCTGCTTGTGCTCGCTCTCTCTCTCTGACAAATAAATAAATAAAAATCTTAAAAAAAAAAAAAAAAAAAGAGTATTCTGAGTCTTTGCCCAAGTCATAATGTAGATTATCTTAATGCCCACTTGAAAGCTTGAGACACTGCCATCCTCAACTGACATGGTAGCCTTTCTGTGGGCCAACTGGAGGAAACAATTTTCTTCATGACCCCAATATTTGGGCAAGATTACTAAGCACTTTTTTTTTTTTTTAAGGCTTTTTGGTTTTTAATCTCTACACCCAACGAGGGGCTCAAACTCATGGCCCTGAGATCAAGAGTCACATGCTCTTCCCACTGAGCTAGCCAGGCACCCCACTAAGCACTTTAAAAGGAAAGTGAGGTGAAGATTTGTATTAGCTTGTAAAGAACCAACTGTACATGATTCCTGCCCAACATCTGCCAAGTATCTTTTCAGTCAATATCGCAACAATGTCAACTTTTTTGCTTTTCTAGTTTTAAGTACAAGGAAGTTCAAATCAATTTAAGGAAAGCTTGCTGTTTACCACTGGTGCTTCAACATAATAAAACACCTTTAAGAAAGGATTTGTGATCAGCCTGAAAAATGCTCAATGACCTGGCTAAAAGCAAAAGCAAAAGCAAAACCAAATTGCATATTTATCGGATTTCAAAAAAAAATTGTTTTGAAAATTAAGGGACCAAAAATAAATTTCTATCTACGACCAGATAAAGTCTTGATACATAAAGCTCAACAAGACAAACGGAGTCTGCTCTACATATGTTTACTGATTTTTAATAAAGTCTAGTCCAGTTCAAATCGCCAAAGGTGTTTAAAGAGAATATTGCCTGGTCCAAAGCTAGATGCAAAATTCTAGGATTTCATCAACTGTAAAATGATGTAAGAAATTATCTAATGCCCTATACATAAGCCCTATAAATCTCAGATTCCAGTTAAGATTTTGACAACTGGCTTCTTTAAAGGGACATGTTGTAGAGAAACAAGCACACAGTAAGCCAGAAGGCCAGATGTATTATCTTTTACAGCTAGCTAGCAAAATCTTAAAAAGGATTTTTCCTCAAAGCTTTCAATAGTATCCAACGCAGAAGTCTATGTCCTGTCCAAGTTCTCAGACCCCAAAAAGCTACAGAAATTCTCCTCAATCCTGGGCCGTTCGTTCTATACAGTTGGAACCAAACAAGTGTTTCGGTATCAATTATTTCAGAGTATGCTTTAAAAGCTCTCATACAGGGCTAAAATGCACTGGAAGATAAAAGGAACTCATTTGAAAAAATAGAGAAAAAAAAAACCCTTGGATTCTATGAAGTGGTAGAGAAAGCCTAAATTGCTCTGATGTTCTAGGAAATAAACTGTTTTCTCTTAATGATGATTGGACTTGCTTTTCCAAGTCAGCTCAATGGCCACCAGAAATGACAACAAAACACATTTTCCCCCTCTCTTGTCATTATGGGTATATACATTTTATATGTGTGTGTTCTGTATACTGGAATCCTCAGCCAAGGCTTTTAAATGTGTTTGAGAACAAATTGCTGTTCGCTGGGTGGGCAGGGAAAGGGTCCAGGGTGGTGGTTTTTGTATAACGCTGAGCACATTAATGGGACTCACCAAATACCCTATTTATTTTACTTGTGGCTTTCAGGGTTAGGAAAAAAAAAAAGAGGTTAGAGTTTATCAAAAACAAAACAAACTCAAAACAGAGAATTAGCGCAAAATTACCTGCATCACTCAAGGCCTATTTCCTTTCTTCTCCTGAATGTTTAACATTCTCTCTCTTCATGGGGTATCTGTCTTTATACTCCACCTCTGGTACAACTTGGGTTCTAAACTCTTCCTAACCGTCCACTTAGTTTTAAAATAACTGTCTCGCCAAAACTGCTGACCCGTCGTAGAGCCACATGCTGTTGCCTCCTGAAAAAGGCACATGGTCAGGGCAAAAGAACAGGTAAGAGGCAGTAACTCTGTACTAAGCTCACCTGCGGTTCTACTCATACACAACTTCACACATTAAGGCGCCCCAGGAACGGGGCCGACAACACCTCAGTCCTGGTGGCAGTGAGGCTGAGATGGGTTACGTGAAAAATGCGATTTTTTTTCTCTACTTAATTTTCTCAAGTTAAGTAGGTTATGGTTTTGGAACACTTAAACCTCTTCTGCTACCTACTAAAAGAAAAAAAAAAAAAGCCTTTGGGTCTGCCTGATTAACTTTTCCATTTACAAGAATTCTCAATTGGGTGAGCAGAGAAAGATGGTTTCACACCATACCGTCTTACCCTTAAAAATAAACAGACTGCCCATCTAAGTGAAATAGAAAGGTTTCTGAAGCAATTGGTGTGTTAGGTGAATTAGTTAAATATAGCAACTCCTTAGAGAAGCACACTCCTCATTTTTAAAATTTTATTTCAAGGGTAGGGAAAATAAATAGAGCAGTCAGTAAGATTCAAGAAAAAAAAAGTGCAACTTGCAATTCAGGTCTCGGACTCTCTGAAAAGAGGGGAATGTCAGTAGTCCTAAAGAACTAGCATGTAAATAACACTTTTCAAAATAATAGTTTAAAATAAAAAGCACAATTACCCTCAGGTGTGAAGGCAATTTTCAGCTTACTGCAATTCAGGTGGGTTGCCCCATACAAATGGGCTTAAGAGTAAAATCTTGTGTTTTGCATTGATTTGCATGGTCTTAAGTCCCTCTATCTTCATTTAAATAGTTCCCTTTCCACAAGTGGACAATGTGCTGAGGACTTAAAAGTACTATTTAAATCCTCCCCAACGTTTGGTTTCACTATCAGGATCTTAGTCTGCACGCAACACGTTATCTCCATAATAATCTCAACATCCTAACCGCTTAACAATCAGTTTACCATTCTGTTAACTTTATATATTGGAATACAAGACCTCTAAGAATGCCTTACAGGTCTTATTCTAGATGCATACTTTCCTGCATCTCCACACTCAAGTTCTTTTTAGAATGTTTAAGAACTCAGCTATGAGGGATCCTAAAAAGTAGGCGAAAAAAGTATTGTTTCTTGGACTCCAGATTACGTACCTGCAGGAACAAAGCCATTTAAAAGGATACCACAAATATCCTAACTACAAAATTCTGAAACGTCTGTTCAGGGAGTTCCCTCCCACAGTTAAATTTTGTTTCTACCAACGGAACGCACCGCCGCCGCAACATTTTTAACGTTGTTACGGACGCACCACATAAAATTTACGCTCAGAAGTCAAAGTCCCATTAAAGGAGCCTAGATGATCGCTTGGTGAATTGTAAAGTTTTAAACTCTTATTCGCCCCGCCCCCCACATCGCCCCTAAATTTACAAAACCTAATCACCCACATTCGGGGTCTTTGACTCATCAGAGAAGAATGCAGCTGATGAGTTATCTATTAATCCAAAATGCCTCAGCTGGAAAGATATTTCACCAAGAACTTTTAACATTGAAAGGGAGGGGGCAGGGAACAGAAGGTGTCTTTTAACGAGAACTTTCCCGGAGTTCTTTCCTTACACCGCACAAACACACCCCTCAACTTCCCAGTCCCGGTCGCAGAATTAAGTCCTGACCCTCCGGGTCCCAATAAACTGAGGTCACCCAGGAGTCAGCTCTCGATTCCGCTTTTAAAATCCCACGCAAACAAAGCTGAGCATTATACTTACAAAAGTCTCCGAAAAGTCCTCAAAGTTACGCAGTCTTAAGAACCCACAAAAACACGCTCTCCGAAGAGAACCCCCCCTCCCGGGGCCACAGTTTGGGGCTGTGCCTCGGGGCGAGGGCAATTCCCAAACCCTCGACTGCGGCGCCCCGGGGCCGGCCGCCCGCACGCGGTTGAAAGCCCGCGGCCGGCGCCCCAGGTCGTACCCCCGCCGCAGCGAGCCCCTCCGTACCTCTTCCTCCTGAAGGTTGGCCTCGTTCGGGGTGTTCTCCTTCTCGGCTTTGCCGCCGTTGTTCATCTTCCCGGTCCTTCCTCGCCGGGCAGGGCTGGGGCGCGGGGCTGGGCGAGGGCGCGCTCGCCCACTTTTCCCTTCCCCGGGCGCCGGGGCTCCCTCGGGCGGGCGCCGCGGGCTGCGGGGGCTGGAGCCGGGGCAGCGGCGGCTCGGGCTCCCACGGCTAGGCGAGACTGCGGCGGCGGGCGACCCAGGAAGTGCGAGGGAGAGACGGGGCAGGGCGAGGCGCGGGCCGACTGGGAAGGGGACGGAGACAATCGGGACCCGGGAGGGAGACCTGGTGAGGGAGGGCGGGCGCGAGGGAAGGAAGGAAGGAAGAAAGGATGGGGCGAGGGCGCGCGTCCCAGGAGGGAGCCCAGAGAGTTGACGATGTGGCCAAGCAGGGGCTGGGGGCGGCCGCTGCCGGAGCCTAGCGGGGGCCGGAGGGAGGGGGCGAGGGGTGCCCAGACCGAAGGAGGAGGTGGTGCGGGGCGCGGGCCGCGGCTGGGACGCTGGGACCCGGAGAGTGCGCGCTCCAGGCAGGCTCTGGGAAGTACGGGATCCAAGCAGCTGCCTTTCTCTCGCTTTCCTCCCTCCCCTCTCTCCTCCCTCTCCTCCTCCTCCTCCTCCCCCCTCCGCCCTCCCTAGACGTGGGCTGCCGGCTTTAGCCCGGAGGGACGGGACGCGGGACGGAGAAGCCCCCCGCGGGAGGAGGGGCTGCGCCGGGGGCGGCTGCCCCGCGGCCGGATGGCGCGCGCCGGGGAGGGGCCGCGGGCGGCAGGCGGAAGCGGCCGACCCCCAGCCCCCGACTCGGCGGTAGGTCGGAGGGCGAGGGCAGAGGCGCGGGCGGGAGGCTGGGTCCTCCCGCTTCCCCGGCCCCTGGGGGCCCCGGCGGCCCGGCTGCGCCGGAGTTGGCGAACTCGCGTAGCGGCGCGCGCCGGCTTGGAGAGGGGCTTCGGGGAGCCAGGCCGGGCCAGCGCGGCGCCCGGGAAGCGTGATGGGCTACTGCTGTTGGCTTGCTGCCCGCGGGGATTCGCACCCCTGTCCCTAAGCCAGCCCCTCCCTTTCAGTACCGGCCCAGACCTATTTCCTCCCTTCCTGGTTGGCAGCTTGAAATGACAGGATGCGAGAGAACGAGCGACGTCCGGGGGCAGCCGGCTCCGGGCCGGCGTTTTCAGGGCACAGCTTCAAACCCCCCTCCAGCGCCGGGTTCTCGCAAGCCTCCCAGCCTCCGCGCGCCGGCCTGCGCTCTCCGCTAGGCTTCACGGGCCCCCTGCTCAGGCTCCTGTCAACGGCCCTTAGCAGACCGTTCTGGAATTATTTGTTTACCTGGCTGCCTCCCTCCCTCTCCTGGGAGAGCCTGCCCGCCAGACAACACCACCGTGCCCTGTTTCTCTTTATAATCCCACGGCTATTTAAATACGCTACCTGGTATACAGTAGGCACTCAAATCTTTGTTGGCTAAGTGAATATTCCTCACAGCGATCCGAACTGGAGGCCAACACAGATGATCTTCACAGGGTCAAAGCAGCTTAGAGAGAGGGCTCAGTACTGTGGGAGGTTCGCGCACAACGCCTGTTTACGCGCCAACCTCGGAAGGATTGCGAGGTTTCGGTTTCCTCACCTGTGAAATGGGAGTAGAGTTACCTCCCAGGGGGTTGCAATGAAAGGCGATGACAGGTTGGTAGAGCTATAGCACCCAGCACCCATTCCTGCCCAGTTTAAGGTTACAGAGCATGGAAGTTAGCGTTATCATTAAGGAAATTTCCATTTTTCCAGGGCCATACAGAGCTTCTCCATTCCGGTATCATAAACACATAAATTTAAAACTGCATATGTCAGTAGGTTCTCCCTCACTTCCCACGCCCAGGAATTCTCTCACACAGCACCCTGTTCCTTTCTTCACAGCACCAATCACAATTTCTATTTATTTGCTTGCCTCACTGTTTATCTCTCTCTGCCCCCTTCCTCCCCCCCCCCCCACATTCTTCACGCTATACTGGTTTAAGTGCTGCTGGGAGTGGGGTGGGGGTGGGAATGGAGATAAGGCTCCTGCTTTTAAGGACTTTAAACTGGTGTTGTGGAGACAAGATACCCAAAACAACTCCACGGCACCATGATCAGGGATCCTGGTTCAAATCGCAGAAAGCAATGAAAATACTTGTGTGAAGAGGATTGTGAAGAAAAAAAGAGTGGCGATGCTTCCATTCACCTCTTGGGTTTTTCTTGGGGTGGGAGGGGTGGGGGGGGAGTCTGAAGATTTTGATAAAGATTGAATTGCTGTCATGATGTCATGCCTCTCTACGGGGGTGGGGGGTGGGGGTAGTGTATCCTGGATGAAAATAAGCCAAGAATCTGTTGAACTTGCAACTGAAGTTCGGAAGAGGCAAGGGCCACACAATTGATCTGGAAACTTGGACAGCCCTTTCCACTCCCAGTCCCTCCCTCAGTTACATAAGGAACCACGAGGGGGCAATGTCTTCCTGAGCAATGGCTGAGTGGTGGTCTTGGGCCCCGGCTCCACCAAAGCCGCCAGCACTTTGCCCTCCTTGGCCCTGGCCTGGTACGGAATACGCTCCACAGAAAGATATTGTCTTGCTGGAGCCTGGCAAAGGCCCAAGAAAAATGTCAATTGATCTAGTCATTGATGGTTCCAGACTCCTCTTATGAGTAGGTGGAAGATGTTGTGTGATTCCAGGACGCTGCTGCTACCCCCATCCAGGGAAATGTGGCTTAATTCCAAACATAGAACCTGATTCCTTTGTCTTTAAGCCAAGCCAGCACTTTGTCCATTGTTAAAAGTCAAAAACCTCTGGGATAAAAAAACGAAAATAAGGGCTATGAGAGGATCTTTGTCTGATGTGTTCATTGTTGTGTTCCCAACATCTAGAGAGTGTCTAACACATAGTAGGCACTCGGTGGTTATTTTTGAATGAATGAACACATTAAGTCTTATCAGATATTGATTTTCAGCCTTGAATGACATTATCAGATCCTTCCAAGACCCTTCACGAGGGACTGAATTAGGAGAGGTGTCTCAGCATGGAGACCCACCACAAGGGCACTAGGCAGATTTTGGTAGTGGTCTGTAGTCAATATTTTACAGGGGGAGACCCTACCTAGACAGAGAGCTTGCTCAGAATGAGACAACTGATGAGATTTCAAAAATAAATAAAATCACACCACTCAACTAGTCACCTAATGCATCAGGCAGTTAACGATACAGCAGGGAGGTCTGGAACATATATCAACGGTGAGCATGAAATTCAAGGTGTTTTCAGAAAAGTATATGGGATGGGGGTAATACGCCACGAAAAGAGGGACTCCTGTTTCCTGTCCTTTCCATGAAGAATGGTGTAGACTTACTTGGAAGAAAGTAGGGTCATACATTACCAACAAACCCCCCTGAAATTCTGTAAATAGACTTTGGCTGTTGATGAAACTTTAGTGAGAGGAAAGAAATTGTTCAGGATATAAGTGATCTTTATGACCTGTTTATTACTTTAAAGCAAGAAAGTTTCAAAAGTGAGAACTCGGGGCGCCTGGGTGGCTCAGTTGGTTAAGCGACTGCCTTCGGCTCAGGTCATGATCCTGGAGTCCCTGGATCGAGTCCCGCATTGGGCTCCCTGCTCGGCGGGGAGTCTGCTTCTCCTTCTGACCCTCCCCCCTCTCATGTGCTCTCTCTCTTTCTCTCTCTTTCAAATAAATAAATAAAATCTTAAAAAAAAAAAAGTGAAAACCCAGGAGCACAATTTCCAGACACATCAGGAGTTACAAGACAACAAAGGGATTTTGTATCCTAAAAATATAGGGCTAATGACCACGAAACATCTGCCTTCTCCCCTGCCCACTGCTTTACCACATTGCTTCTAGCCTACAAGCTTACATGCTAGATTGAAAGGGGAATGTTGCATGCACCTGTAGTTTTATGCCTTATCTCTGTTTCTTGGGCAGTGTTCATTTTGAGGTTTGCTTTAAGAAATCCAAACCTAGGGGACCTGGGTGGCTCAGTCGGTTAAGCGACTGCCTTCGGCTCAGGTCATGATCCTGGAGTCCCGGGATCGAGTCCCGTGTCGGGCTCCCTGCTCAGCAGGGAGTCTGCTTCTCCCCCTGACCCTCCCCACTCTCATGCTCTATCTCATTCTCTCTCTCAAATAAATAAAATCTTTAAAAAAAAAAAAAAAAGAAATCCAAACCTATAATTACGTCTTCAGTGTTTGTCTCTGGGAATTGCAGACATTAAAGATCTATTCTGAGGTATTTTGCAGGGCAGGGGTCATGTACCTGTTAGCACTCCAGCAGAAAGCTACAGGATCTACCACATGGGTTGTGAATATCTTTTCACACTTTTGCATCCTCTGCTCGACCCAGAAAGTTCTCAAGGCCAGAGGCTATGTTTTATTGGGTTTTTGTCATCCTTGACATCGCTCTCTCTCTCTCCACCCCCACCCACCTGCAGGCCATCATCATCTTCCCCTGATTTTATTCATTAGGTTTTGTGGCTTTAAAAAACACAGCACTGTATATACCATTCCACAGTGCGCAGTTCAGTAGTGCGAGGTATACTCACATTGTTGTGACACATCCTCTTGATTTTTACCTCCTAAATAGTTGTGAAATTCAATTACTTCCTTCTAATCATTTGTGGAAACCCATGCAGCCACGTGGAGAGGCCCACGTGGAAGAGAACCAGGTCCCGGGCTCACAGCTCCCGCTGAGCTCTTGGCAGACAGCTGGTACCAATTGCCAGCCTTGTGAGTGAGTTCTCTTGGGAGTGGATCCTCCAGCCCTGGTTGAGCTGCGCCAACTCACGCCACATGGAAGAGACATGAGCTGTCTTCAGAGTCATGCCCAAACTGCAAAACTGTTAGCAAAAAAGTGAATGCTGTTGTTTTAAAACACTAAGTTTTAGGGTGTTCTCTTATACAGCAATAAATAACTCAAATGTAATTGCATACCTAGAGGTGAGGTCCCGATGTATAGAAACCTAGAACAGGCGGCAGTGGCTCTGGGACCAGGTAGAGGATGGAAGCTGGAAGAACACTGAGGAGTCTACTAGCGGAGAGCATTACGAAGGGGCAGTGAGTATTGTTATTAGAGGCTGGAGAGAGGGGGCTCCACTTATCTATTGGAAAAACGATTAGCTAAACTAGCTTGCCGTTACATGAAAGACAGAAAAGATACCTAATGAACACATGGATCTGGCTAAGGAGCTATTTGGATAGATGGTAAAAAAAGTTGAAGAATTTCTTTCAGATGCTTATGATATAGTACAAGAGAAGTGAGATGAGCCAAAAAAAAGGGGGGGGGGCACTGCTCCGTTTTCCATCTGAATTTAGAGGAAACATAAAGAAGCCGGGACTTGCTGGATTTGAAATAAAACTGTCATTTCTAGCCTCTCCAGAGGACAAAATCATCAAAATAAGAAATGGCCTCGGGGCCGAGGTCAAATCCAGGGTGCTCTCAGGAAAATATGGCCTTAGGTAAAGTTCAAGACAAGGGTACAGCTGTGGCAGGCAGCCTCCACCATGGCCCCCAATGGTCCCTCCTTCCTGGTATTCAAGCCCTTGTGTCATCCTCTCCCCTTGAGTGTGAGCTGGACCCAGTGACTTGCTTTTCATGAATAGAGTCTGGCAAAAGTGATGGATATCACTTCCAAGATTAGATTAAGAGAGACAATGACTCCCTTTTTACACACCCTCTCCTTGCTCTCTCACTTGCTGCCCTTGATGGAAGCCAGCTACCATGATGCCAGTAGCCCTATGGAGAGGCCCATGTGACAAGGAGCAATGGACGCTTCCATCCAAGCACCAGCAAGGAAATGGCGCTTTTGATCCAACAACCCACAAGGGACTGAATTCCTGCCAACAACCATGTGAGCAAGTTTGGAAGTGGATCTTCCCTAAGTGCAGCCTTAGATGAGATGAGACCTGTTAGGGACTGAATGTTTGTATCCCCCCAAAATTCATA